CTGGTATGCACAAGCCCTCCGACGACATACGAAAGTCTCAAAACTCCGAAGAACTATGGTGTTCTATTCGTCGGCACCAGAGTCTGAAAGTCTAGCTCAGTCAAAGTGCCAGGGCTGCATTCTACCTTAAATGTAGATCGAGGAACGAAGATATCATGACCCATGAAATCAAACATAAGAAGACGCCGTAGGGAGAGCTCGACGACGCCCTTCACATACTGTCTCTGACTCTTCTACCTCTATACATTTCATGTTCAGCTATTGATCTGACACAAGCTTTTCTGCTGCCTCGACCCGCGCATTCTAAGACCAGACCTTTTATACCACAAGTCAAGCTATGCAGATGACCCTCGAAGCCATTATTGGTATTGTAGCCCTGTTTGTAGGGTTACCACCTACATGTTTTATCCTCTGGAAAACTTGCATTCGCAAGGGACAAAAGCCGAGGCACGGTAAGAATAGCAGGAACCCGATGCCCTGACTATATTCATGCTAATATGAGACAAACCAGCTATAATCCCATTATACCGACGTCACATGATCGCTCAAAACCGCTCTCCTCATTACGAGCAACCACAATGGCCAGCACCTGGCTCCATCTGGAGATCTCGGACGATCGTTGCCTTCGAAACAGAAATGAACAGGTATCCCAGTGACGAGCCTACCTCTCGACAGAGCTGGCCAGCTGATACCTATACCACATACCACTCGGGAGGCCATCATGCCTAAATTATGAGAAGCAAGGTGCAAGATACCTTCAGAGATGTTGACCATCGTCTCGGTCAGATCTAGGTGTGAGGGACGTGGCCTACATTCACTCGTCATTGCACTCCTGTATTTGAACCATACAAGCGGCGATTCCGTAGAACGGGATGGACATAGGCAAGGGTGGCAGAACAGAGACATGTATATGTGCCTGGAACATATGGAGGTCGTGACCTCGAAAAAAGCAAAAGATTTGATAGCACAACCTGGTTTCGATCCAGGGACCTCTGGGTTATGAGCCCAGCGCTCTACCCCTGAGCTATTGTGCTTATATTAGTGCTTGATGATGAAGGTCGCCTCACAGTTTCTGTTGAAGAAGGGTCAGTGTGGAGAGTGAGTCATTCTTGTGTAATTTTGTCTGGCCTCGTCTCCGCTGTGGAAATCAAAGCCGAAAGGGTTGGCGACGAGGACGGAGACGGGATGGGGCGGGCGGAAGAGAGGGTCTCGTGGGATTGCATCGTATGAGGCCAAAAAAGCGTTCGCGGGGGTATCACCTCCACATCCTCCACCCCTTGAGCCGTGAGCCGGAAATCCCCCGAACAGAAACTCAACGACATCAGTAGATAGTATTACAACAGACGCTTCTTAATCATCGAACCCCTCAAACTCATCGTCCTTCCCGCCAGCCGCCGCCTTGGCCTGGTTCTTTTTCCTAATCTCCGCAATCATCTCATTCAGCTCCATCGCCTTGATCTTCTCCTCCTCCGTCATGGTCGACATCCGCTCAGCCTCCCTCTTGCGTCTCCTCTTGTCGCGGCGCTCCACCCTCACGTCGTCCCTCTCCGTCTGCTTGCTCCACGCCTCGTTGGTCTTGCGCTTGCGCTTCACCTCATCCGCGGCAGCCGCCTTCTCGCCGTTGCGCTCCGCCTCCGCAGCCGCTAATCTCGCAGCCTCTCTCGTCTTATCCTTGTAGGTGAAGTTCTCCCAGTCAAAGTCCTCGTTGCCGAGCCACTTGTCTCCCTCCCAGTTCTTCGTCTCGGGCATGCGCGGCAGACGGAGCAAGCCCCAGGCCTTTCCGAGGTCGGCCCAATCGAGGTCCTTGACGCGGAAGATGGAGGTCGTCAGGTGAGCGTTGTAGCTACGTACCCAGCTCACGAAAGCTCGTTGCGCCTTGTCGTGGTAGGCGCGGTCGCTGCGGAGGACGTCGCGGAACTTTTCTGACGCCTCGTTGGCTTCCTCTTCGGTGATGGTGATTTCGGGTTTCGTCAGGGGGAAGATGGGTGTCTTGCGGACTTCGAGAAAAGGAATGTAGTCTTCCTCGTGACCGGGCTGCAGGAAGACGACTGACAATCCCTTTCTGCCTGCTCTTCCGGCACGTCCACTCCTGTGGATGAAGACCTTGGGATCTGAAGGAGGATCAACCTGGCAGACAAAGTCTACCTGCGGGATGTCGAGACCTCTTGCTGCAATATCTGTGCACAGCAATACAGATGGTGATACCGAGTTGACAAACTTGTTGAAGCTCTTCTCTCTTGCCTTGGGGGGGAGCTTTCCGTGCAGAGGTACGAGTGTGAAGCCTTCCGGCATGATGGTAGGAAGGACGTGTTGGAAGTAGTCGACGGCAGCGCAGGACGACAAGAAGACAATGCTGCGCTGTGGCCGCGGGTTGAGGTTCTCGAGAATCTTGCTAAGTGCCGGGAGCTTCTGGCTTGCTGGTGTGACGAGGTAGGACATTTGCAGACTGATTGGTGTCTTCCGGTCCTCAATAATTCCTCCATCCCTTAAGCTCTTGACACGTACGGCAATCTTGACCGGGTTCCTCAGACCGACGGTGATGATCTGTGACACTGCCTCTGAGACTGAAGCACTGAACAAGCCTGTTCTCCTCTGCTTCGGCAGGTATCCCAGAATCCTCTGAATATCCTGCTTGAAACCCATATCCAGCAGACGGTCCGCCTCGTCGAGAACCAGCATTTCGAAAGTGGAAGATGTGCAGTGGACATGCGGAGACGCGAGAAGCTCAACAAGTCTTCCCGGTGTCGAGACTAAGATATTGGGCGCATGTCTGACGAAGTAGCTGAGATCTTGCTGTGTGGTGGTCACTCCGCCGACGAGCAGCTGAGGGACGATAACCGGCACCGTCGTGTCGGGGCGCTTTTCGTCTTCTTTGAGGTGGGGCAGTATCTCGGCGGACGGGGGGTGGAAGCCGGCGAGGGACTGGAGGACGGTATGGATCTGAATGGCGAGTTCGCGGGTTGGGGAGACGATGATGGAGAAGACGTGGCTGCGCTTCGTCGGTTCGGAGAGGCGCATGAGCTTTTGGACGATCGGGAGGAGGAAGGCGAGCGTTTTACCACTGCCGGTGACAGCCTGGGATAGTAAGTATTCCAAGCTGCTGGTATGGTCGGTTTTGTCCTTACCTCGACTACAACATCCTTGTTTCCGAGGAACTGCGGCAGACAAGCTGCTTGTACGGGCGTCATGCGCTGGAAGCCTTGGCTGGACACGAAGTCGAGGATCCATCTAGGCGAATGTTAGTTGGATGCGCAAGTAGAAGCAGTGGCACGGGATCGTACTCAGCCAAGGGAGGGGTGAGGCCTCTCCAGGCCCTAGGGTCCTTCTTCTTCTCTTCGGGCGCCATGGTTCAATTGGTCTGGGACAAATACCGAGAGGATGTCAGGCACACCGAGGATTTGCGCTGCATGCGACTTCAATGAGGCCGTCCGAGCTGGAGGGGCTTGATTTCCAGAAACTTTTTTCGTTATCGTTATCGATACGACATCGAGTGTTATCTTATCTCCACTCTTATCGACCGGCAGGTGGGTGGGTGTGCTCACGTGGGGCGGTGACAGCATTCGAGGCCTCCTTGGCGCCATGTCTCTGTCCGACCGCCCACGGACAAAGCCAGTGATATCATCCCGATTGACCCCCAACCGTCCTCAGCCACTCGCCTTGACATCTCGCCCAAAACTTTCAGCCCGTTTTTGCAGTTGAGCGGTCTGGAAAACAAGGAAGAAGCACAGAGTCGCACGTCTCTTGTCACTTTGTGCACGTACCGAGTACAGGCAGCCTACATAAGGCAGCTCGGCAGCGGAGAGACGGGATGAAGTGCATCCACCGGTCGAACCCACCCGGCGCGTGCAGAGAAGAGGAGCCACGCCTGAGAAGGACATGGAACCGGCGGGACGGCCGGAGATGGCTTCACATGCTTGCAGCAGTGAACGGCGTAGCGCAGCCCACTGAGGAGGAAACGAGAAAAAAAATCACCGCAGATTGAATCGTGCCCTTGAAAAAAAACCCTGCCAAATGGACTTGGAGTGAAGCGGTGCGCCCGACAGGCCGGCCATTCCTGGGTAGTCGCGTGCACCGGACATTTTGGAGTGGGATTCGGGGCGCTGGTCATTCGGCCCTCGGCACACTGTGCTGCGGTTTGTTCAGACTGTGGTTCACCCTGAGAGTCGTCTTTGGATGACCCTTGACTTTGGCTTGTGCTAACATCTCATGAGAACCGCAATGGGTGATTGTTTAATCTCCATGTTGGAAATGGATGAATGAGAAAGAGAATTGCATTTCAACATCCCGAAAGGTTCCTAGAGATGTACCCAATGTACCTACCTCGATGACTACAACGAGGTAATGAGTACCTCAACCTTGAGAGGCTCTGACTAAGGTTCTTCGGTTCTACCCTGCAAAGTTCGAGTGCAAAGATAAGGCGGCTTACCAAAGCAACAGTGCGGCCGGTCTCCAAACACCGTTTAGATACGTCGCTGCAAGTACTCGGTACCTTGGCCCGCGAAAAATCCTCTCTCCCAGTCCCCAGGAATCGGCAGACTCGCAGCACAACAAGACACCGACGATCCGGTCCAAACACCTCGTCCTTAAACACATGTCACGCTGCCTGCTGACCGACCGCATGTCTCTGTGGTCTTCTTCCCCCCCGTACCAACCCGGCTCAACATGCGGCGGAGTTGCTCTCTGCTGCATTCTCAAACATCACCCTGGATCCAATAGCCCAACCAGCCTCCATCCTCCAACCCCAGGCCCAGCAGCATAGCCATCAAAGGAATACCGGTAATCGCTGTTCACCGGCAGCACCCTTTGCCATCTACGACACCCACGCCCGCGCCGACTCCGCCTCCGTCTCTCCCGCCTTGGACCCCCACGACTCCCGTTTATCTAGAAGAGACAAACATCTCCACTCCTCACTCTGGCCGTTGAGACGACTCTTGTTCCCCTTTCAACGCCTCTTTACGGGAGCTGTCGTTTGTCCTGCACTCCCGCCCTTCCCTTACAACATGTCGTCCGTCCGCGCCATACCCTCTACCCCGCGGGTTATCTCCCCGAGCCCGACACCTTCAGAGATTGATGCAGCGTCACAAGACAACTACTTTGGCCCGGTGACGAGGTCTGCGGCGAAGAAGCGGCGAACAACGCCCCAGCCGCTGGAGGAACGGGCAGAAGAGGATGACTACGAGCCATCGACAATGCGCAGATCGCGCACGAGAAGTCGATCACCCATCGAGTCCCGCCGAATCACACCCATGACCACGGTCAAGTCGCAGAGCAAGAGAGGCAAATCGCCCATCATCCCGAGCGAACCGATCACGGAAGAAGTCACCGCCAATGGCGAAGCGAACGGCAAAGTCAAAGCTACGACGGCCAACGGCCACCTGGCCCCTCCCTCTGCCGCTCCTACGGGATGGAGTTGGCGCGATTTCAGTCGAAGCCCCAGTCCGCTGGGCTTGATACCGATTCACAGAAAGTGGCGGACCTTTGTACACAAGCACGAGGTGCCCAGAAAGATCTTGCACGTTTCGATCGGGTTCTTCACTTTGTGGCTCTACGTATCGGGTATCCAGACAAGCTCAGTCGCACCGTGGCTCTTTGCTGCGCTGATGCCCATTACGACCGCCGACTACCTCCGTCACAACTACGCCTCCTTCAACCGATTCTACGTCTCGGTCCTCGGCGCGCTGATGCGCGAGAGCGAATACGCCGGCTGGAACGGAGTCATCTTCTACCTGCTTGGCGCGTGGATCTCGATGCGCTTCATGCCCAAGGACGTCGGTGTGATGGCCATCCTCCTGCTCAGCTGGTGCGATACCGCCGCCAGCACCTTTGGCCGCATGTACGGCGCTTATACCCCGCGCATCCGCCGCGGCAAGTCGCTTGCAGGCTCCACAGCCGCATTCCTTGTCGGCATCGCCTCTTCATACTTCTTCTGGGGATGGCTCGCACCGAGAACGGGACCTTTCCCCGGCGACGAGAATTATCCCTTCATGTTCACGGGAGCACTGCATCTACCCCGCACCATCGCAAGCGCCGTGGGGCTTTCGGACGCTCAGGCTACCATCACCGGACCGCTAGCGCTCGGAGTCATGGGTCTGTGGTCTGGATTTGTGGCGGCCGCCAGTGAGGTGGTGGACATTTTCGGTTGGGACGATAACTTGACGATCCCGGTCCTCAGCGGGGCTGGTATTTGGGGATTCCTCAAAATCTTTGGCTAGAAGGCAGAACTCATGGGCCGGCGGGGGAAACTAGACGGGCGGAAAAGAACTTTGACTAGCTCACCGACGGCTGCTAGTACACCAAACGGCAATCAGTATCAAGAAGAGAGAGATGGGAGAGTCGGTGGTTGGGAAAAAAACGGCGCGTCTTCTGCCTCGTATAAACGGCTGGCAATGGCGTTCTACTTTGCATGATTAATCGGCGTTCATATCGTGTCCACTGGGATAAGAGGTAGGGGATGGGGGCGGGGCAAGGCATGGTATGGTATGGCAATGGCATGCGAGGACGGCCGGGACGAGGAAACATACCATCATCACGTCAACGACGGGGTATCTCGTCCACCAAGTTTGTACACTTTTTTCTCATTTTTTGTTTGATGCGAATACAGGAACGGGAAACACCAGGTACGGAATCAAAGGAAACGTGCAGAGGGGACCTGACGTCCCAAAGCCACGGGTATATAATAGTTAGCTGCTATTACAAGATAACGATAAAATCAATCAGAACTTTCCCCCTTCTTACACTTATTTTAGCCCTGCTGGCTTGGCTTTCCGTCCCCCTCCCTCATCGTCTCCGTCTCCGTTCGACCCCTCACTTTTTTCACCCATCTGACATGCATCTTTTCTCGCGCGATGATACCGAGTACAAGGACAAGGCCCCGAAGAAGGAGGTTTCTTGTCAAAAAGTATTGGGGAACCATCTGAGCGGTCAAACATCGTCACTGCCTTAGCGTCCTGGGAACGGCACAGAGAAAGGATTGACCTCCTTGTTCCGACTTGTGAGTTTGAGCTTTGCGTCTTGGCCTCCCAACTCGAAGTCGCAGAAGCAGCGAGAGAATGGTGGGTGGGTGTCTGTGTGCGTGAGATTAGCCCTATCTATGAGAGATGAGTATGGTGATATGTGACTTTCTATGATCATCGTCGCATCGCGCTTTCGTCACACTGCGGGCAAAATTATCACTAGCAAAGGAGCAAATACATCATCATCATCATCATGATACCAAAATGGCCCCATGTCGGAGCTGGGGCTTGAGGAAAGACTGGGCTGACGGCCTGGCCTGTTTGACGCGGGCAGCTGCGTGGGCTGGGTGATGTCGTGCAGCTTTCGGGTCTTTCGTTCACAGGTGCTTCTTGTGTGCTTTTACCATGCCTTTGCCTTGTCATCCTCACCGCGTGGCATGTTGGGCTCAGCCATTGGCATATTTTCCGAGGTATCATGAGTACAGCATATGAGCAGCGTGGCTTTTTGGAGTTCTACAAGAAGCGAAATAAATATACGAGGCGGGATTGACGGGCGACACGACACGAGAGCGAGCTTCAGGCGTGTGTGAGAGGGAGCTGCGTGAGACGTTGGGGATTGCGCGGATACAAGCGGTTTGGGAGGAAACGCATAACACATCACACACCTAAAAGTTTTTGAACCGTCGGTCTGATTTTAGATTGACCTTACACAACGGTCGATCCGTGCAGGATACAGAAACCCATGCGGTACTGCTTCCCCTTCTTCTCATTCTCGCACTTATGCTACATCACCTTACATACAGAAGGCGTCTGCGTGGCTGTATTCTGCATCTTCAGTTTTCACACTTGTGTTGTGCACCTGAGGCTTGAACCCGTTTCTATGGCGGGAAAAAAATCTTGGCTTGGGCTGAGAATGAGTGATTTGATTAGAGAATTCTGTGCCCGCGGCTGACAGGTGAGAAAAGCGTGAGAGTTGGGAGATGCAGAGGGGCCTGCGAGTGTATCTGCAGGATGGGCGATGGCTCGCGGATGGCGTCGATGGGAGGGGAGTGAGTAGTGACATGGGCACTGGGGATTGGGGAGATACGACGACAATGTAACGTCGACTGATCTCGGAAAAATCATTGGGAGCAAATCGAGGAAAGGTGTTGATTGGGAGTTGGCAGCTCGCCCTTCTTCTCTTTCAAGTCATGGACCAACGGCTCGTTATCCAGTAAGGTGGTGCCCCATCATCAAGCAGCCCTGTTTGACTGCATCTGCATCTCCGCTCCTCACGTTTCCTGGTTCATGCCATGGCATGTTACCGTGCAGCATGGGAAGGGCAGGAGGGCAAAAACAAAAGCCAGCGATGGTCTCGGATAGGTGAGAGACGGATGTGCGATGTTGCGTGTAGCTTGTCCCACCACCACACCCCTCGTGTGTCTGTCTCTTCGAGATACGCCTTTTTCCCATGTGGCCGTCACCCGACCCCCTGGAAGACATGACATATCCATACCTTACCCCATTGCTGTAAGAGGGGAGCAAGGGAGCAAGGGGCACCGGCGATTGCGGTGTTGGTTCGGAGTCCCGTGTTCAACTTTTGGAGTTTACAATGGCACCCTTCTTTTCCTTTGCAATTCGGGGGTTTGAAAAGTCTCAAAAAAGTCCGAAGCAAAAGAATCTAGAAGCGCAATGGTTCAAGAAAAGTGAAAGAAAAAAGAAGGTTTGGTGGGCACGTTTTCCGTGGCACAGACCGTTTTCTCGTTTCACCCGTCAGATCAGCGGTCGTCACCGCTCAGTCTCATCTCACGTAGTCTTCTCAGTGAGATTTCTCTCCTCTCAGTCTCACATCAACTTCACACTCTACGCCCGTTACTACACACAAGCGCCCAAACCCGAACGGAAGCTCGGAATCGGTGACGGACGAGGGCGGGAAATTCACCTCTCGGTGGTCAGTGCCTGCGGTTCCTCTTCCGATTCACTCAGAAACCTTTTTGGTGGCGTACACCAGACGGAGGATGGAGGGGGTTCGAGCCTCATAACCGAAGCATTGGCTCTCTTACACAGTACACTTACTCTACCACTTACCCAGTCATCCCCCATGCAAACCCCAAAGCCCCCGTGTCCATCACCAGATGAGATCTCGACCTATGGGCGATACCTCACATTTCCTGACCCTTGCTGGGACTGGGGTAGGTAGACTACCTAGCCTGGCCTGGATGGCTCATGCATCATTGCCTTAACCTTTGCGACTACCGCCCCAATGTGACTATTGGCGCCATGACTGTCATTCAAAGTCCCTACTGCAACACTAGCCGGCTAGTCGAGTTCGAGAATGGTCGTCGTCGAGGACGTGCCGGCTTCTCAAAGTCTCTAGGTATTTTGGCGAGCAAACTGTCTGAGGTGTGCCTGTCTGGATGGGACTTATGGGAGTGCCGTTGGAGTGCGTGCCTGCGTATAGATAGATAGACACAAGCCATTCATTGCCCCTCCCCCTCCTTTCCCCCCCATTGACACATTCCGCACCAAGAAAAATCCTGGACCTCCTGGTCCGGCTCCGGCTCGAGACCCGGGGAAGCCATGGACCTCCCTTCGTCCCTCAAACCAGAAAATTTTCTGCTCGCGCGCCAGTATGCTACGATTTTCTTTCCATTTTTTCTTTTTTCTTCTGCCATGCGGTAAGTTCAAACGTCAGATGGCTCCCGGGGTAATCCCCGGCAAAAGGGGGCATCTCTCTCATGCAAGCCCGTATCCCCCTCCATTCACAAACCACCGCTCGGGGTATTCCAGAACGCCGTTCGTCATCCGGGGGACACCTTGCGTGGGGCATCTCGGGTCCTTGCCGGTGTCGAGGAGGGACGAAGAGGCAGCCCGGCGAACCGTGGGTTGTGAAGATGGGGAGGGGGAGGGAAACAGTTGGTCATGCCATGGATCACGGCAACCCGTTTGCATTGAGCGGGTTCGTGGACCGGAACTGAATTGATCACTCAGTGAGCAGTGGCCTTTGTCCGTCTGTCACGCCCGCATCAAACCCCCGCGCGCCGTACGGCATTGCATGTCTTCAGAGTTCAACCTGACGATCCCACTCACACGGGAGGCGAGTGAGAACCGAATTCACATCGAGGGGGTCAGATACTTGATACTCGGACACCAATGGGTTTGAAAACAGGTATCCTGTGTATCATGTAGCCAGGTAAACAGGAATGCCTTGTTGGCTGCCTTGCCATGCTCATCATCATCGTTGCATTTGAGGTTCCACCCCCGGTACATGGAACCCAGTTTGCCGATTCCTAAGAAATACCCGAAGAGAAAATCAGACAAAAACCATCAATGTTGGAGGGGACCTATCCGTAAACCCCCCCATCTAGTAAATCTACGGCGTATCGTAGCACACGGCGCACGGAATTTGCAGATCCACACGGGCAGCAGAAAAAAGATGATGAAGAGATGCCCACAGCAGCAAGACGCATGCTCAGGCAATGGGGTGACGCGAAGCCAATGCGCCGCTAGATCAGATCGGAAAAGGGCGCGCCGTCATTTAATTGCACTCTTTTCCCTTCTGCAACTCTTGACATTAGGCAGACAGAAGTGCAGGTAGGCTTTCGTACGTCGTTGGGTTTGATGATGATGAAGCGTCTCTTTCGATTGGGCTGTTTTGGGGTCTCTTTGGGTACCTTTGCGTATAAGGTCGACTTTGGGCTGCCTCTCACTCACTCTCACTTCTCGGTGCTAGTCCAGATACTCTCTCGGCTCACTCAACTCTTTGGGTGCAAATTGGAACCGACTTTGTCAACCGTTACCGGCTGACGATGACGACGGTAAACTTGGGAGGGGGAGGGGGGAAGGCCACTCACTTACACCGCCGCTCTTGGAACTGCGGGTGTAAGATCTGCCCAGGTTGCCCGCGTTCTTACACTTCCCAACGCAACGCGCAAGCAACGCAAAGCAAAGCACAACATACGTTCTTCTCAAAAGAAGATGCCTTGTATTCTCGAGAAACGCAATTTCGTTTCCAGAGATCACATGCGATGCACCTCGTAGAGGAAGCTCCGTCTTTGCGCATACGTGCATGCCTCACATACATGCTGCTGCTGCTGCTGCTGCTCCTGCGTATGATGGGGGCCTCTCGTGGATGCACTCACACCCCCCACCCTTGAGGAGGCCTGAGGAGAGGAAAACACGCAAAGAGACAAGGCCAGATAGATGGGAGAAGGGAAGAGGGAATCCTCGCATCGGTGATGGAAGTTCGGCGGGGGCGAATTCGCACTTGAGTCGGCGCCGCTTTTCAACATTCATTCATCGCCAATGGAACATTGTGAAAACATGTCGATTTAAGCCGACCAGTTGCTGCCCCTCACACCCCCCCGTCAAAACGTCTCTAGACTCTGCATCTTTGAGTGCATCTTGGACGGAGCCAGGCGTGCCAGGGTCATAGGGTGGGATTACAGGGGTTGCTGATGAGCCCTGCCGGAGCCCTGGAGAGGTATCCAGTTCAGGTAGATTCTGGAAGTCGTCCGTCCTTTTGCACCAATCGAAACTCTGAAAAATGGCAATGATTCGAGTCAATCAGAAGCGGGAAAAGTAGACGGTGTGGGAGAGATTGGGAGGGGAAGACTCGGGAGAGGGCAGCAAAAGGACTCTGAGAAACCCAATGGGAGCGACGAGAAGTCCCGACCAATGATAAAAAGCCGGAATGAACTAAGTTGAAGTCGAAAAGGGGAAAAGGTACTTGCAGGGGAGGGGATGAGGTACAACAAAATAAAATAAATAAAAATAACAATTAAAATGGAATAAACCAAAAAAATATTATATCCTGGGGGGCTCCCATCTTGACAACGCATCACCACATAAAATGCCCGAATCTACTGCACTTCTGCCTGACCTGACGCCAGGGTTAAATCACAGAACGAATACCTTCCATTACTCTCCAGTCGCATTCGCACATTGGAAAACGGCAACATGACCGTTTCAAGAGACTACAGTACCTACAGATACTTCTTTGCCTAAGAAACGATCAGCATTTGGGGGGCACTTCTTTATCCCGCAGTCCACACCCGTCCCCGGTTCTATCAAGAAGGTGGCTCCCGCAGTCCAACGAGGCGACGACACGAGCTGCGTGGGAGTGGACAATCCCACGCTGCTTTTGATTCAAAGTCGTCGAGAAGTTGCTTGGCCTGCATGCTCGGTACATGTATCGCATTGTCCATACGTTGTATTGTACCGCTGTGCCTGAGCATTGCATCGTGGTGTTATTAAGACGTCTCAACATCAGGACGATATACCTCGGGTTGAGAGATACCTCGAGGAACGCCAGGTTCGTTCGCAATTGCGAACGAACAGCAAACGGAAGAGGAGAAGTGTCCCCTCTTCCCGCCCCTCGGCCGGTCTTTGCCCCGTTACATTCCCATTCCATTCTGGTCTCGTCTCCCAGTCTTTTGCTGGCCAGCTCTCTACATGCCGCCCTGCCCTGCCCTATCCAAACTTCTTAGCTCTTGATATTCACCCTAACCTGTCCTATCCCCTTTCATCCCAACCCATCCTCACCCTCGTTAGCCCGGCACACTCGTTGGATCAGAGTTTCGATCAACGGCGGGCCCTGTCTCGTTTCCCCATAGACCCGGCTTTCCCTAATCGTCCTGACGTCTGCCCATCGTTCAACTTGCCCCAAGTTGCCTTCGTCTCCATCTCTGGCGTGTATTCGTTTTACCGCCCTCCTCTTCCTCCTTCTCTTTTCCCCCTCGACACCGCTTCCGTCACGAATCAGAACCATACTGTAGCCCCTCTCCGGACGGTTGGAAGGCCGGTCCGGCTTGCGTCTGACTGGGTCGATATAACACATACGACCCGCATGGCCCTCCGTCATACGTCCCTTTTTTTTTTTTACCTCCCATCTACGGCCACGGCGTGTGTCCTGTCCGCCAGAAGGAGACGTCGTCGTTGGATTCCCGGGGGGAGGGGTGTGTGACTGCCCATAACCAACGTCCCGTTTGCCTTCCGGACTCTTCTACGTAGGTACACTTTTAGATTCTACACACACCTCTTACACCCACACCTTCTTTCCCACGCCTCGGCCCCTTTTGGAGCTAAAGCACCTTCTATCCTTCTTGACACCGCACGGGCGTGGACGGAAGGGAGAGGGGGGGCCAGCCCAAGCAACCACAAACCACACAACCCAAGGTTGATGAAGGAACCCTCCACGCCATGGACGTGGACTGAAGACGTCCGTCCCTGCCCACAGAGCCCCATGCCCCTGGCTTGCAGGTTGCAGCCATTCCATCCTTGCCTGTAGTCGGTAAAAATGAGTAAGGTAGTGCGGAAATACTTTCGAGGTTGTACCTCCCTTGTCATCAGGTGGGTGGTTCGGCAATGTCTGGAACTGCATGTCTCTTGGTTCGCCGTTTTACACGACATGCATCGTTTTTTCTCTCTGCTGCCTTTGCTTGAACCCACATACCTACATTCTTCTCCGTGTGTCTTGTCTTGTCTCGTCTTTTTTGCCCTCCCATCCTGCTCTTTTGCCAACCTGCGTCGGCCAAGTCCGTGCCCCCTTGAGTTTATCGGACTGTTCTCTCCTTTCGTTTCTCCGCAAGTATCGACCCTGGCTACCATAGTATTTGGCATCTTTCGTCTGGATATTCCACAGACTCTCAGAGATATTAGATCCTTTACCCGTTCCGGTCTGCCCACCCCCATCCACCCCATCGTGGACTATCTCCACCAATCCCACTTGTGATAGTCGCCTCCCTCGGCATATGCAGACACCTCTTGCTCCCTTGCTCCCTCTCTCAGTCCTCGTCTTTGCCTCTGATACTTGCCGCGTTTTTCCCCATCATTTTTTACTTTCCTCTTGAGAAATAGGAAACGCGGCATGCAGACGTAGTAGCAATCTGCTTTTCCTGCTTCTCCTTGGTTGGCCAATGGCTCTGTCCATCACCCTCCCACCACCGCCCGGCTGCCACCCCTTCCAATGCCCACACCCTCAACGTCCAAACGCCTCATCGTCGTTGGATATCTCTCTCTTCTTTTTTCACTTTTGTCTCCTCTCTTTCTCCACGGCCCATATATCCACATCAACAAGCGTTGCGGGTGAAGACAGGGTTTAGTCTATGCCACTTCCCTGTCGCTAACGCACAGGCTAGACCAGGCCCAGGCAGGTCGACCGGCTGCCGCTCATCATGGTCCTTGTCAATGTCAATGTCCATGTCCATGTCCATGGTGGACGTTTGTTGTCTGCGACCCTTTTGGCCGCTCTCTCTCTTTCTCTGATCATCCCATCACATCATGCCCTTGGACCATTCCGTCTGTTCCCCCTTCCGCGGAAGGAGACCCGGTTAATGATGAAGCCACGGCTTGTCATCGGACGAATCGAGGCTTGATGTCTTATCCCCCTTCCAAACAGACGAAGAATATGGAGTCCGAGGAGGGTTTCGGAAAAGTATAAAAGGGCACAAATTGAGCGGCTTGATTTTGTTCACTTCTTCTTCCTTTCTCATCATCAGATTCCTGGACTATCTTGAAGCTTCCATATAGCTTTCTCCAAGTTCTCTTCTTTGCCCAACAAGCAACTTCCTTGCACACTTGACTCTGTCTCACAGAGTGCCGCCATCCCCAGTCGACACTTGGACTTAGTCATCCCTTGTTTGCTTCACATCGTACACAAAGTACACGTCACGCCTCTATCGTCAACTGCCGGCCTCCACCTCCTCCTGCGCCCATCATGTCTTCCCACTACAACTCCCACTACACCCTCCCTCTGCCCGTCCCCTCCCACAAGGGCCAACACTACCCAAGCTACAGCAGCACCTACTCTGTATCGCCTCCAGAGACAGATGAGTCCGTCAGCTCAGGCACCGGTCCATCATACAGCAACAGCGGCTACTCTGGCGGCTATTCGGTGGCCAACTCCAGCTACGCCGGAAGCAACAGCGGCGACTACGAGAGCACCCACCACTCGGCCAGCGGTGTCGATTTCAACGACTACATGCAGGACCGCTTCGCCCAGACCTTTGACCCCATTCCTCTCGACCGCAACATTGCGGTCCAGGCGCAAACGTAAGTTGTTTCCTCCGTGTGGCGTGCGGCGTATTCCATATGCGGCGGCGAGACAGAACAAGGAGGCTAACGAAGAGGAATGCAAAAAATAGGTCCGGAAAGCTCAACGCAAAGCACCGTGAGCTGCTGGAGCTGCAAAAGAAGGCGCAAGCTCGTCTCGCAAAGACGCGCGAGCGCTTCAACGAGGGTTACCGCGACGCTCAGGACGTGCGCGCGGACCTCGAGTGGACGCAGAAGAAAGTCTCGTAAGTTGCACCCTTTTCTCTCTCCATTGCCTCTTCCGGGACTCCGGAGAAAATTCAAAGGAGAGGCAAATTCTGCAGTACTGCAGTATGCGATCCCAGGAGTTTTCCCCGCGAACCAGTGGGGAAATATCTGAACCGGATTGCTGGTCCGATTGAACTGCGCGACTGCAACATTGGGCGTCGGAAAAGGAAATCTTTCGGGGGGTAAAATCTGCGAGATCTGAGACATTGCGGCTAACACGCGGACCTCTTTTTGTGCAGATCGCTCAAGAGCAAGACTTCTCGCAAGCACACCAAGGAGTACAGCAAGGCCCGCGCTCGCTATCCGTCGCCCGAGTACTAGAGAATTTCCTCTTGTATGCCGGGTGGTTTGCTGCGGATTGAATTGCGAAAGCTTCTCAGCCGCGCGACACCGACGACGTTGAAAGCAAGCGGCGAGCTTCTCCTTCTTTTTCAGCCTTGTTTTTTTCCAGCGTGCCATTTTCAACTGCGACCAAAAGAAAAAAGTTTCAGCCTGCCGTCGTCACCACCACCATTGCTACTACTACCACTACCACCACACCACACAAAAACGCACGACATACATACATCCCTGCCGACAAAACTGCAGGAACGAAGATACCAGATTCCCGGAGATTTACTTTGCATTTGATTTTCTTTGGATGAGCGCACGCCTCCCTCCATCTCCGCTTGTCTACTTACCACTATTTTTTTCTTGGGTACATATTGGGCTGGCAAGCATGGGAGGGGAAGAGAGGAGACAGGGGCCCTAGGCGAACCTGACAGCCGGGACGGCTTGACGCGCAGCGGCACGGCGCGGGGCGAGCATGGGGGGCCCGCCTAGCCGCCCATCTCACGCTGCTTTTGCGACGGGCAGGGCGGCGGACATGCGAGCTGCGAGCTGGAGCAGGGTCGAGTGAGGAGAGGGTTGAATGGGGAAATATCATTCCCAAGCGCCCGGTAAACCTCCACACACACACACGTACATGCCCTGGGCAGTTTTCCCCCAGATTTGGCAGACGTAGGGCTGCTGTGGGGTTCCGACCGACCTTCTTTTGACCTTTCGCCTTGAGAGAGAGGGGGGATGTTTTGGTTGCACGAGATGATTATGAGACATGATTGGATGAATGGGAAAATGATTTGGGGCGGCTATGTTGTTAAAAGTACACCTCACCCCCTCCTTTCGAGGGCAACGGGGCCAGGGCCAAGTAGCCCGGGGGCTGCAGTAGTTGTTGGAAGGGTCTCTAGGCCGGTAGAATGGCTTGGTGGAGACCGGGAGGGAGGGGACGGGAGACAAGGAGACCAGGCCCAAGATGAGGGTACGGTACAAAATTGTTGGCAATCTGTTTGGAGGCGCTTGTCCTCTTCGGGGCGGTGGGATATTGCTCTTTCGGGAAGGATAGCGACGGGGAGCTGGACGTGGGTCATGTTCCTCTGACCCTCTCGGCGGTTCTGTAGCGACGACAGGGTATTTCTCCGTCTCGGGTTTCATAGTCATATCATACTCTCTTCTTGTTCGGTCGTGGTGGCCCTTTGCCGGGCTGCTGGTCCACGATATGTCCACCGTAACAATACCGTTGTGATGCCAGGGTCTCCGTAATGCCACCGTAAAGGACCCCCCAGGCCTTGGCCAAGTCTCTGGGGGGGGGGGTCTCCCCGTATATCCAGTGATATATCAGGTGATGGATGGGCCATGATATTTTCCCCTGGCCTATGTCCTACACGGATAGGGACATCACGTGACGTGGTCGGTGAGGTAGTCGGTGAGTCGTTTGTCGATATGCCAAGTCGCATGGTTGAGAAGGCATCCAGGTGAAGGTGAGGTAAGCATATCGATATATGTTGACCACACACTGGGTACTGGTCCACACAACATTCAGGTGCCAACCCATGCCACACTGAACATTGATAGTCCATCGACGTTCGATCAAGCCTTCTGAGCTTGGGTACCCCTCGCCACCCAAGTCCCCTTGGACAGAACCCCAGCTTTCTTCTCGAGCTTCTCCCATGGGTTCTCATTCGACGCGGGGTCGTAGTAGCCCTCCCACCAAGGCTTGCCATCATTCCTCTGTTGCTGCTGGTAACCCCCGCGACCACCACGCTGGTGCTGGTGCTGGTACTGCTCGGGGCGTTCCCTCGTCGGCATCGTCGTCGGAGCGGTTCCCATTTCCTTACCCCACGACGCGTCGGGCCGTTGAGGTAGGGCCGATGATGTTGGGAGAGAGTAGGTTGTGCTCTGTGCCTGCGGTGCCGAGGCTCCGTCATCTACTGCCGCACCTCGGTTGGCGAGTTCGTCTATCAGACCTTGCGCGTGGGCAAGGGCCGGGGCGACGGTCGGGTCCGAGTAGAGATTGGCGCCGCCCTCCTCTGCGTCCACGTCTTCTCCGGCGGCAGCACCAGCGCCGGCGGCGTTGCTATCGTCTTCGCCATCATCGTCGAGGTCTATCTCATCGGCGTTGGCGGCGGGCGCGGCAGCATCCTCGGTCGTTGTCGACGACGGAGCGGGGCGTGGAGCGCGAGGGGCGAGTGCGGTCTGGTTCGCGCCGGTCGCGGAGGAGACGGCGTCGGTGCGGTGGTTGTATTTGCGCTTCTTGGCGGCGGGTTGGGTCCCGAAGGAGGCGAAGCCCATGAAGGCTGCCATTTCGGGGTCGATTGCGAGGGAGTCGTCTTCGTCCATTGTAGGCGGTGAGGAAGTTAGTCACACGGGGTCGGTTGGTTGGGGCGTCGTTGCGAAAGGCTGCTCGCTGCGGGAGAAGTATGGGCGATGGCGCTGGAAAAGAGATGTTGGTATGGATAAAGTAGGCCAACTTCCTGCAGGAAAGAAACAGCTCTGGGCGATGTGGGGAGGGAAAAAGGCAGTCAGTCAAAGAGGAACAGAAAAGGAGCTTTGGGCGCGGGAAGAGCCGTGGACTTTTCTCAGAGAAAGGGAGGGAAGAAAAAGGGAGAAAAAAATGTCGAATTAAGACCCTTGTCCGGCACTGGCCCGCTTAATTACAGCCTCGTGGGACCGGGGCAGAAGGTACCTTAGTTAGGTAGGGAAATAACTTGGGGGCTCCAGACTTAAGTTTCAGGGTCTTTGAATGGCATGTCGTCGATAAAAGAATGACGGACGACATGTTCGGGTATTTGCGGCTGTAGATATGGGCGAATGAGAGAGCAATAATTCATTTGCGAATCAAAAGCATTGTGTGATGAGTGCACAGTTAATACCAGTACCTACTCCCTCTCTAAGGCACAGAATTGGAGAGGAAGGGGGAAATGCTCGAGTCTCAATCGTCGGGCCGCTGAGACGCTGACATCATTTGAAACGCGACGTACTCCGTACCCCTGGCGCGGATCCCGGAGCTTGGGGCCATGGTTTGCGCTTGTCTTTCAACTTCATTCCAATATTTTGACAACGACAACCTCTTCCGTAGAGACACCGAATATAGCGGCACCACTTCGAATTGCAGTCGCGCGTAAACACCCGAGCTCTAAAACGCGACATCTTACGGGAAACCACCTCCTGACAGTGTTGTCAACAGCGACAATCCCACGAAGCTCCACACATGCTCCGAAGCACAACTCCAACCTCCACGACATCCACCTCAACATCTTTGCAATAGATACAGAGCATCATGGCGTCCCCACCAACAACAGTCACCCTCCGCTCCCCCTCAAAATACACAACCGCCTCCTCCCCATCACCATCAACCTTCTCAGCCCCGCCCCTCGAATGGCTCCTCCGCACCTGGTCCGTAACCCACTCCACCCTCGCAATGTGGCGCGACGCCCGCAACGTCCGCATCTCCTACGCCTCCATGGCCCCGAAACCAGACGGCACAGCCCGCATAGACGACCTCGTCGAGTACGAGTCCAACAAGACGCCTCACCCCTCCACGGCCGTCAAATCCGTAAAGGGCGTCGATACCGCCTGCGCCGTCGGGGATACTTCCGTCTGGGACTGGAGGGGGAAAGGGTGGCTGTTCTTTGTCGGCAGTCATTGGGAGGTTCTCGGGTGGGGAGAGAGGCGGATCGAAGGTAGCGGGGAGGTGGAGAGGTGGGCTGTTACGTGGTTTGCGCCGACGGTGTTTACCAAGGAGGGTGTTGATATCTACTGCGATCGCAAGGAAGGGTTGAGTGCCACTGGGTATGAGGAGGTTATGGGCGCACTGAAGGGCTTGGAGGCCAAGGAGTTGGTTGGCATGGTGGAGAAGGATATGTTGCCTGTTGAGATTGCGTTGCCCTGGAAGGAGGCGTGAGTGTTGTGTGCTTGGATATTACGTTGCCCGGTTCAGGCGTGTCTTTAATTTGAGTTTGTATAATAGTGATATAATATCTAGGCTGAGCATCTATTCTTTCATATAGAACCCATCACAATAACAAACAAGTAAGCTCGCAGCTTTATAGTAGTGTACTATAAATTTCATGCTTCAGACTCTTCAAGCACTTATCAATCTTTGTGTAAAAGTCTCAAGAAGTGAGTCTGACAAAGTTCTGATAGGTAATGAAGGCATCCATTCTCTCCTAAAGCCATCGCTCCAAATAGCTGCCACCCCAGCCACCATCAGTGACCAGATGTCAAGACATGTCAACGTAGTTCGACAACTTATTACAACACCATCTAAACAGCCGACAGTATTCTGTTTTGGTTACAGGCCATGATATCATTCTGCCTTATCATGGAGAAACTCTTCAGGCTGTTCCTACTCAAGTTGATTTGTCTCCCAGAATCACTACTTTGGATCATTCATAATAGGCTGCTTCCTAGACCCCGTTAGTGCTGAAATAAATAAAAACCCCGTATGAAAAAATGGCGACGACTTATTCGGAGACTGCTTCAGCGTGCGTCTAGCATCTTGTAGAGGATGCTGCGTGGGGAGGTATAGAGGTGTTCTTTGTTGGCGTGATGCGTTCTGCTGTCATTCACAGCAGGCTACTAACCTACCCATATTCGTTCTTCATCTCTCGTCACGCAGCTCCTGGTTCACGTTCGCCCACGAATACCCCGTCAACTCTCCGTTTTCGCCCCATGCACATCACTCACCCCTTCCCATTCTCATTCTCATGCCATCCCACTCTATTCGATCAATGCTCCAACCCATCCTCCTGCCCAGCTCTCCCTACCTCATTCCAAATCACTCCCATTTCCGTCATCGATTAAACCAACTGGCCCAACGACTCGAGATTCGAGGTTCAGCCCCTTTCGTCCACCAAGCCTCCACAATGCTTTTTCCATGCCACCGCTTCAGCTGATCCCGCCTACACGTTTAAAATCGGCCGTGGTCCGAGAATCAGCCACAGACTGAGGGGTGGTTATTCATTTTTTTCCGCTACTCTCTCTTGATACCGACCTTCCTTGTCAGTATATAAGTCGACGGACTCTTGAATTCGCTGATGCACATCATTGGCTAGGCAACCAGGAGTTGAACGCATTGGTTCTCGCTATATCCTCAAGGCAGCTTCAGACCGTCAATTTCCAGTTTCTTGCGAGCTCAATTCTGTAGATTTGATGGCACATGGCAATATGGACTCATTGAAAATTGCGCTGATTCCCAATGTGCGATATGAAGCTGATGTTACAGAAGTCCGTGCATGCAACAGTATAAACAAAGACACAATTTCGAAATGTGCAGCAAAGTAAATCAAGGTAGAGATTCGTATTCAATTTCAGTACCATTATGATTATGTCCTCCGAGTCGAATTCCAAGCGAATGAAATGGGTATACTGCAAAGCCCGTCCAACGTGATGATCATGCCGATTTGAGCTATCATCTCCCGGCAGGCCTCTGTCCATCCTTACCCCACATCTCTCCCGCGTGCTACAAGTACATGTTTTTTTCTGGTTTTTTCTATTTCGTTGTATGGAATTATTCGTCGCAAAGGGGTATTTGAAAAATCAATCGTGTCGGAGTATCGTGAAACGAAGGGGTATTGACGTCGCAGCAAGAGAATCAAAGCGTAATTGGTGACAGCCGTAAAGGGGTCGGCTTTAGTGTGACCAAGCTATTCCCCCACACGAGACCTCAAGTCAGCACTCGGTGCGAACTCAAATGTTTTCGATGACACGAGAGTTAATGGCTTGCTGAAAGCCGGAATCCTGACCTCCAAAGTCGTTGAAGTCGCCAGTGCCGTGGTTGGCACCGCTCGACTCGCCCGCTTGGTTGTTGCCGCTGAGCGACTGCTGAATGTTGGGCATGGTCTGGCCAGGACCAGGCAGGAAGATGACCTTGCTGTTGGAAGACTTGGCCATCGCCTGCATGGCTTCGAGGTAGCGGATCTGCATGGCAGGGGCAGACGACAGAATGTCGGCAGCCTGGCGCATGAGCTTGGCAGATTCGACCTAGATTGTGTTAGTGATGAAATGTAATCATGTGAGATTTAGGATGCGTACCTCAGCCTTGGCTGCGATGATCTTGCTCTCACCAATACGCTTGCTCTGGGCGGCCATGGACAGCGACTCCTGCAACTCTTGGCTGAAGATGATGTCCTTGATGAGCATGCTCTCGACCTGAACACCCCATCCGGCAGCGACATCCTCGATGATCTCGCCAATGGACTGGGCAATCTCCTCACGACGCTCAATAACATCCTGGAGAATGCGGGCACCGACGACGTGGCGGAGAGTGGTCTGGGTTCGCTCCATCAGAGCCTGGCGCACGTTGGAGATACCGAAGGCGGCTCTGTGAGGTGCGACAATGTGGTAGTAGATGACAGAGGTGAGGTGCAAGGTGACGTTGTCCTTGGTCATGCAAGTCTGCTGGGGAACCTCTGCCATTTGAATCTTGACGTCGACCTGGATGAGCTTCTCGCTGAGAGGGTTGACCTTGACAAGACCAGGGTCGACGGCCTTGTAGAATTTGCCAAACTTGGTGACGAGACCGACATTACCCTGGTTCACGTTCTTGTAAGGGTTCGGGCAGACGATGCAGCAGGGGATGGCACCAAGAGTACCAATGCAGGCACCGAAGGTGTTGACTGGTGGTGATGTTGTGTCAGTAGTTTGCGATAGGCTTGGAGGTGAGGCGGATGCAAGGATCAGACTTACTCATGGTTCCGTACCAACCCTTGGGGTTGGCATCTTCGGCGACAACTCTGGCGTAGCTGCGCTGGAGATCCTCCTTGGTGGGAGGCTGGACCGTCATCTCATTGTGAGGCTTGAAGCCGCCCTGTCCAAGACCGAGACCGCCACCGTTGGCCGTGGTTTCGCTGCGCTCCTCATAATCGGGTGCGCGGGCCTTGCCCGTGGAAGTGCTCTCGTGTTGCGGGGCGCTCATCGTGGGCGAATGCGATCGAGACGAGTTGGCTTGGAGAAGGTGTCGTGCAGATGTGTTGGAAGAAGAAGCTTGTCGAGTGCGGGTATCTAGATGATCAGAAGCTTCGGAGGTAGATTCTGAGTGATGAACCATGTGTGCTAACCAAGGTACGATTTGTGATGGTTGGGGGTACGAGGTTCTTAAGTAGACGACGTCTGGGGTAGGTAGGTACAAAATGGAGATGTGTCGAGGGGAGAATGAAGACCGGGGACTGCACTAAGAGTTCTAAGACCAAGGGATCATAGACACCCGACGGGTCTAAGAGCAAGGGTCGAATCATTCCGTGGGACATGGAGGACACAGGGTGGGCTGTGTTTGTGCCCAAGAGCTCTTTCCTTGGGGTCATCTTCTTGGGGCCTTCTTTCTGAGGTGGTGGTGGCACTGAGCTATCGGCAAGCGCGATGATAGGCGGGAGAGGAGAGGAGGCAGTCGCAAACCGCGAAAAGGAAGCTACAGGAGCCGAATGGTGGAGCAGGGGTCTCGCAGCACCTCCCTCAAGACTCACTAAGGTGACAATGATATCGCAAAGTGCAAGTACGAAGCTGGAGGTACCTGCCCCATGTTCCAGTTGGTTGCCCCGTCTGCGTCCGTGGGCTGTTGAACGGGGCAGGGATGTGAGCACCAGGGAAGGAACGCTGAGCCATGCGGGGCAAACGTGCCCGATGGTGGAGAGCACCTGCACTGCCCGCGAAACTCCAACATGCGGTGGCCCATGTTCAATTTGAGCTTCCTTCCCTTCACGGTCACGACGTTCTTTCTGCCTGCACCAAGGTAATCATCTTGCTGACTGTTTCTTCTCGGCACACATTCCGCATCATCACTTGCCTGCCTACCTTACCTACCTAGGTACTCACACAAGGACAGCCAATATGTTGAAAAGATCTCGTGGTCATGGACGGCCTCAAAAAAAAAAAAAAAAAAGCCGCAATGCTAGCAGAATCGACACCGTTGCGACGGCTTGACTTTCCATATCGCGCCCAATCGCGAAGCTGCCGGTCTGCCGTCTTACCTTCAAGGTCCCTACACCCCAATCAGAGTGACATGGTTGTTTCTTCTCTTTTGCCCGGATAGACAGCGCGACTTTCGCCTTCAACTGCGCGCATCGACCAAGTGTGATCGCCCGACTGCTTCCAAACTTTACCACGAGGGCAATGTCGCTGCTCCGCCCTCTCCATTCTTCGCTGCCTAGGCAACAAAAAAAACCTCACGATCCGATCCCAACGGTCCGTCCTTGGTGGCAGAGCGGTGGCGGACCCAATCCGTCCTTCAATCAGCCTTGGCTACAGCCAAGACACGCCGCGCACGGGGTTGATTGCTGACTGCTCAGGGCGGGCGGGCAGTTGTGTTTTGGCACCTTTGCACTTCTCCAACCTCTCCGAGAAAAAGTGCACACCATCCCATCCAAACACGCCGTCTGATCTCGACAAGCTCCAGGCGGCTGTCTGTCTGCCAGGGGCAATTGAATCACTGAGCCTGCAACTATCGACCAAAATGTCACACGCCAACGGAGAACGTTTCACACATCATTCATCTCTGTGTCATGATATTCGGGGCCCTGTCACCCCAACATGCACAACAGCCAATCAACGTCCTCTCGCGTGCCGACTTCCGCCAAGGGAGGGCATGGCAGAGTGGCATGATATCATGGAACCCCAGCGCCGAGATTTGGAGAATCCTACACTACGAACACTATACCCTCAAGTCAGACATCGTGATTGTTCGCCGACTGCTTTCGGTTAATAATTGCATGGCATAGCGAGTGGCTTACTTTACCTACCTAAGGCAAGGTATTTATTTATCCGTTACCTAACGGCTCCTGCGGCCGGTAATCACCCACCAACGGATCCTTCATCGCAGAGCCTCTCTCAAAGTCCGAGGAATTTGGAGACCAGGGAATGACTTCATTGACTCCGCTCTTGAGAATGCGCCTCCAACCGCTCGTGCATATTCTTACATTGTCCTCCGTAAGGTAAAGTGGTGTCGTCTCCACTCAATCTACCGTCGCCGCCCAGCTCCTGGGCAGAACGCCATTCACAACTCTCAGCCTCCGGATCGGCCAATCCACGCCGGCCGCATGTCTCCACCCTTTCCGAAAGTGGCCCTAGCGTCTCTCCGGCACGCGTGACCCGGCACTGCCCCGCCAATATTTGTCGCCCGGCGAACTTGGAGCAAGAGCTTTCAATTTCTGCCTTTCCGCGCATCAATATCTTCTTGGGTATTGGAGCAACTTGACATCATCCTCCGGATTGGCCAGAATATCGGCCGATCCTCCGCCTTCATCCCGACAAACCAACACTAATTTCCGGTGGCGACCCGCTGGCGGCTGCAGTCTTTGGCCGACTCTCACCGAATCCAGCACCCGGCGAGACCGTCTCCACGTTGAACCCATAACCTTCGTCACATGCTTCCGCAGGGCGAACGCAGACTCCACAAGGCTTAAATGGTTGACTGATTTCGTTCTACATCATCCTTGTCGTCTTACTGCGTAGTCTCGTTTGCTGTGTAAATGTGGGAATAGCTGAGCTTTTTTGACTATTCCCTGATAAGCTCAGCCACCAACGAATGCCCCGCCATCGAATCCTTCCAGAAGCCTTCCTTTTCCGCCACCCCTGCGCCGCCGTGCATCCCTCGTCCACGATCTTGCAATTCCATCGTCATTCCCATCTTGTACGAGGTTGACTACCTAGTACATAGGAACTAAGCTGCAAATACACGGTGCCTAATCATCTGTGCCACCATGGTTTTGTAGATCACTGCCACGGTCCCATATAAGTCAATGTGGCAATGGCTGTGTTGGGGTCATGATACCTACCCCAGATGTGGAGGAGCCGCATTCCCTAGACAAGGTAAAATAACCCGTATGAAATAAGCTATCGAATTCTTCTAGAAGAGCCAGCATGTAGGGTATCCGTCACGGGATGATGACGGTCTGGTTCCTGGTTCACTTTTGAGCCACCCTAATCCCATGCCTACCGCAACGCCTTACAAGACACATCCAAATGAGCAAAAAGGAAACAACCATTCTGCTGACAGCTATTACCATTCCAACAAGGCAAACTCATTCATCACTGCCCTCTAGTCCCCTTCATCCCCTCAAAATCCTCCACAATGGCAGCATGATCCATCTTCCACCCAGGGCTCATGGACACCATCCAATCTCCCTCCAACAACTTCTCATCCTCAATACTCCTCCTCGTATCCGCATACGACGCAGCCCAGATGCTCCTATAAATCCCCTGCGCCGGGTAACTAACCAATCCAAACGTCGCAGCAGTACTCTTCGTTACAAGACTAGCCACCCCCTTCCCAAGCCCCTTGGCCGCCCCCAGCGCGCCCTGCTCCTTTTTGCCCGTGTACGTGTGCACAAAGATGTCTGTCAGCCCGCCCTTCATGTCCTGGCAGAACGTCTTGCCCGCCACCGAGACGCCGCTGCGGAAACCCTCGACGGCGTCGTGCTTGCGGACGGGCTCGCCGTACAGGTTCGGCACCGCGCGGAGACCCTCCGTCACGGCGAGGGGTATGTCGACGAGCAGACCTTTCGTCGCGTTGCTCGCGAGTTTGCCTACGCCGTTGGCTGCTGCGGCTGCCATGGCGCCTGGTTTTGCGCCGTTGGAGGATGATTCCTGGCTACCCCTGGATGGCGGCGGCCGGGCCGAGGAAGTTTTCTCTCCGGTTGCCGCCGCACCGTCTGGGACGCCGACGCCGGGGAGGGGCAACATGGCGAACGCGGGCGCTTGACTGTGTCTTCTCGTGTTCTCGACTTGCTTCTGCTCTTCGAGGCTCTCGCCAGACTCGCTGGTGCGTTTGTATTGTTCAAAGGGCTTGACAATAATGTCGGCTGTGGCGCCTGCCATTTTGACGATTGTCGAGATGGAGGCTGCCGATACTGCCGTCAGAGGGTCCCATCTCTGGTTCTCAATGTTTGTCGGTTTCGATCGGTATCTGCAAAAGAACAGTTTCAGTAACAAGCGTCATGGAGAGGGTCCTTGAATCGAGTGTATGAGTTGACCACGTACGACTTGAGCTGCTTCCGCTGCAATTTTCCGTTCTTGACCAAGATGGACGCGACGGGTCTACACATCTTGACCTGTTTCTTACCCCTCCCGTAGACCAGCGCCGCGGGCTGGTCGGAGAAGAAGTCGCAGCCCATTTTCGACTGTGGCAAGTTGGCATGGAAGGCGTCGACGGCGGCCTGGACGCCGTCCTCCCTCTGCATTGCGTCGGCGAGCTTTCTGGCCGAGCGGATGGCGTCCGGGGAGAGGCAGAGCTGGATGGCCTGGATTAACTTTTGCGATGTGAGGGAGCGGTAGGGGATGGGGTCTGGTCCTGCGCCAGCTTCTGCCACGACGGCGCCCCAGAAGGGTTGGCTATGGGGGAAGTGTCAGTGAAACTGTGGCCCATGTGATCCTGTTTTCTACTCACTCTCCGAAGAAGGGAACAATGGTTGTAGGCTTTCCGTATCTCAATCCGCAGGCTGTAGTACCGGCGCCGCCGTGGTGGATGACAGCGGCGACTTGCTGGAATAGCCACTCGTGCGGGCAATCGCCCACGTAAAATACGTTGTCCGACTCCTCGCCGGTCAAGTTGCTCCAGCCTCTCGAGATAATGGCTCTGACTCCTGTCGCCTTGATTGCGCTGAGGACCATGGTCATGAGGCCCTCGATTCCGCCAACCACGATACTTCCGAATCCGACGTATATGGGTGGTGGGCCGGCCTTGAGAAAGGCCTCGAGGTCGGGAGGTGGTGTATACGGCGCAGGGTCGCGGAAGAAGAAGCCACTGATGTCTTGTTGCTGATCGTTAGCTTGACTCTTCATGGTAGAGTTCTCGATGGGAAACATACCAATGTGCGGACCCCAATCACTGGGCTTGGGCACGAGAGACGGCGACCAACAATATGTGAATGGGACTTGCAGACTTTCCAGTATACGATGTCCCTCGGTCGACGGAACAGGTTCCAAGCCAAGTGACTGGACTCTCCACGCGTTGACAAGATCCCCCAAGCTGTTTTGCCGTTAGCAACATAGCCACTCGCCTGGGAAGAGATACAATCTCACCCCTGCCATGTCAAAAACTCAACAGCAGAATACGAAGCATGATTCGTACTCTTCTTATCCGCCTTTGAAAACCCAATATTCGCCAACGGATGCGGAAACGCCTTGGTACTGCTCCACGGCATCGTAAACATCAAATGCACCGGGATTCCCAGCGCCTGGGCGCAGTGCACGTGGGCGAAGCTCGGCGGGTTGGCAATAATGGCATCAGCAACAAATGGCACGTTGGAAAGGGGGTCAGGGTGGACGCAGGACCGCCAAAAGCCGTCGAGCATCTCGACGTACATGTCGCGCTTCCGCTGGATGATGCCCGCGCGGATCTGCGACATTTTGGGGATCAGGGAGGGTGACTCGACCATGTAGGCCATGAGATCGGCCGGGTCGCCGCCGACGGGGAAGAACTCGATCCTGTTTGGTGAGGCGGAGGCTGGGACGGAGTTGTTGGATTCGAGTACAAAGGAGGAGAACTGCGGGTGCGTTGCGATGCGGACGCGGTGGCCTGCTTTCCGGAGGGCGGAGGCGAGGGCGATGAAGGGCTGCACGTCGCCTCTGGAGCCGACGACTTGGACCACGATATTGAGTGGTATTGGCCATTGGCGTTGAGGTGTGTACTGGGGTGTATACTCAGGCGGTGTCTGGTCTTCGGCTTGCGTTAAGCCGGATGGTTCGCCTTCTATTCACCGCGTTGAGTGTTTGTTTTAGGGTTATTGCAGGGTCTTGGGGCTACTTTACCTTCGAGGTAGAGGTCCTCGAGCCCCAAGGCCGAAGCTTTAGACTCCCTGGAGGATCCAAATGTCTCTCTCTTTTCGCCTTCCATGTTTGCGTACTTCACGTGCTGAATAGCTGTGTGGTGTTGAAGGTAGATAGTAAAAGAGGACGTGGGGAATAACGTAGGAGACAGGGAGGGGCAGGATCAAGTACATATAAAGAGACTTAAGCATACGTTAATCTACCTAGTACCTTGCCGCATAGCCTCCTGGGTAGGGCCGCGTCAGGAAGTCGGCTACTCTCAGGTTAGCCAGTGGATCTACTTTTTACCGTCAGCTACTAGCTAGGCATCTAATGTCATGGATACGAAATGAGCGGCCCGAAACTCAACTGGTCTCGCTGCTTCGGGGTGACCGTAGAGCGTAGGTAGGTGTTCCCTGCTGCTTGGAAAAGTCTGATGGTAATCTCTGTCAATTTTCTTGTAGTCGCTCAAGCGATCTTGTTATTATTCCACGAGACTTTTTCTCGAGAGAGGCCGGATATTGCCAGAATCAAGATTATTTGCTCAGTCTCACGAGCACTCTTGTTTTCAAACTCGATAAATCTATGTATCTTCCAATAAAAACCCATTATCCCCTCATTAACCCCAACGCCATACGAATGTGCAAAGTAGATGAGTCTATTACCCGCGGTCCATCTAGACACTCTCTTCTCGACTATTTGGAAGACCATCCAATTCAAGCTTATCCTCTTCCGATTCCTGCTTCTTCACCGTCCTCTTCATCTTCCTCGACGCGCAACAAAAAGCGCACCCGTGAACAGAGCTCAGAAGCCACAGCAGCATGCTAATCCCCGCAATCCAAGCACCCGCAGCAAGTCTCGACTTGACATCGCCCGTAACGTTGATACTCTTCTCGCCGCCCACGACCATGGAAGAAGACAGACCGCACAGCGCGGCCCAGAGGACGGCCAGCCCGAAGTCCCATACAGACCAGGCGGCGTGTGTAACTGTCGCGAAGACGTGGTAGGCGCATGTCAGCGCTGAGAGGACGGCCGGGACGAGGGCGTAGATCCAGGGCGTTCTCTCGAGGTTCTCTGTCGGCAGGGTGCTCCAGGAGCCGAGCGTGGCGGCATAGAGGCCAATCGTGACAATGGCGAAGACGAATTGGAGGATTCGGATGCAGGCGCGGACCCAGAGGCCGAAGGCGCCTGAGAGCTGCCAGTAGTCTGTGTTCATGGCTCAGCTCGTGGTATGGGGTCTGTGTTTACAAGCTGTAAGGCACTTGTAGAGGAGAGAAAGTCTTAGGACGTTGATGTGTTGGTAGGAGGCGAGATAGGAAGATGTCTGAACTCAGAGGAGAAAAGAATTGGAGATTGATGGATTGTAGGGATTTGAGAATGGAGGGCGAGGAAGAGGAAGAGGGACGAATTTCGGTACTCCTTTCCGGGGAACGAAAAGTCAATGGATCTTTATCCTGGCCACCACTGGTTGAGACGTCTGGGAAAAGAAGAGACGCAAATTTTCTTGACGCCGCCGCTCAAAGTCATCTGGTCACAGAATTACTCCTTACTGTATGCTTTGGTGCGTGTAAGTCGTCAGCGGGGTCTCGCTCGTCCCTGAATCATGGCGATGAGCCAATCAAAACATTTCCGCATTCTGTACGAAAATTCGCTCGTTTTCGATACGATTATTCTACGAGCCATGAAGTCCGGCCCCTGTTTTAGTCTCCAGCCTTAAACCCTAGTTTTACCCAATTCCCCCCTCCCTTGTCCTAGAATAATTGTCCAGTAACGAGTCGCAGTACACTTGATGACTGGGATGTAGATTCTGTTTCTGTACAAGGTCACCGGCAAATGGCAGAACACATGGAGCTATTCGGACTTGGCGCGGCGTACGGCGATCCTCACTTTCTGGGAGGTGGCTTCGGAGGCATATCGTCATCACAAATACCGACTTGTGTGTGGGCTTTTTCTTAATCCCCTGTTTTCTCATGCCTTATTACACTAGCCACAGCACATTGTACGCGTCTCGGAGGCTCGGCAATCAGGGGAGATACCCTCGTGTCCTCCGCGCCGTCGACATAGCCCTGTGGAAACTTTCCGTCTGATGTGACTTGGACCGGGACAACTAGCATCGTGACGAAATTGGGACTGAATATCTGTAGCGATGGCAAATGTGACGAAAGTGGAATGTCGTTCAACGATACGAAAATGAGAAGATGGCGGAGTCCACCGTTCTGATATAAAAATGCCCATCGAGACCGCATCATGGTCTTTATCATTGGTAGTATCTCACAGGCACGCACACAAGCCCGTCACCTTCTCTCGTTACCACAATGGCTGCCAAAACCGTCATCTCGTTCTTGGCAACCGTCTGCGCTCTAGGCGTCTCCGCGCAGCAGACATGCAAAGTCACCCCCGACGATGCTGCATGGCCGTCCGACGAGGATTGGTCGACGCTGAACGCAACAATCGATGGTGTTCTCATCAAGACTCGACCCGCCGCATCCTCCTGCTACGCCGGAAACCCGTTCGGCTCCTTGCAGTCGTGCGAAGACGTCGAGAAGGGATGGGGATACTCCGCCTACCACGCATCCCTTCCTGAGTCCATCGACTCCTCCATCTACGCCAACAACTCGTGTCTCCCTCCGAGTGAGTCCGCGGCCAAGGGTTGCGAGATTGGCGGCTCGCCGCAGTACGTTGTGAACGCCACGACGGAAGAGCAGATTGCCACTGCCATGGGCTGGGCCAGCTCGCGGAACATTCGCATCGTCATCAAGGGAACTGGGCACGATCTCAACGGCCGGTAAGATGTCTTCAATCTCATCCCCAGAGCTTTCAGTGCACTAACCTGACTCTAGCTCTTCCGGCGCCTACTCGCTGTCCATCTGGACTCACAACTTCAAACAACTCGAATACCACCCCGAGTGGAGATCCCCCAGCGATAATAGAACCGAGGCGGCACTCACCTTGGGAAGCGGCCACAACTGGGGCTCTGCCTCTCGAGGAGCAGCCAAGTTCAACAAGGTTGTTGTCGGGGGCGTTGATGAGACAGTCGGAGTCGGCGGACACATGCAGGGAGGCGGTCACGGTCCCCTCTCGAGCACATACGGCCTCGCGGCAGACCAGATCCTGCAAGTGCGCGTCGTGACGACCGACGGCCAGATCCTTGTCGCCAACGAGGCGCAAAACCAGGATCTTCTATGGGCCGTCCGCGGCGGAGGCGCCGGCCAGTACGGCCTCGTCTCCGAGTACGTCATCAAGGCGAACTCCCCGCCCGGCAATGTTGTCTCCAGCCGCATCCAAGTGTCGGCCGTCGGCAACGACACTGCCTCCAGAGAGGCGGCTTGGAGAGGTGCCGCAGCCCTGCTCGCCAGTGTGCCTGACTTGATGGACGCGACTCTCACCGGGACCGGCATGTTAAGCGCCGGAGCTCTACCTGCCAACTCGTCCGAGACTGTCCGCAAGGTCACCGCCTCCATTGGCTTCTTCGCGTACAACACGACAGCAGAGAAGATGACCTCGCTCCTCGAGCCCGTTAGAGCTCGCATCCTCGCAGAGGTGGGCAACAAATCTGTCACAGTCACCCTGAGCGAGCCGTCATCGCAGCCTGACTTTATGAGCTTCTTCGAGAGCCTGAACACTTCGCCCAGCGCAGCCGGGGCTGGGATGATGACGAGTCGCCTCCTCGGACGCAAGGAACTCGCGGAGACTCCGGTGTCGGCCGTCTCTGGGTACCTCCAGCGTCTCAGCGTGCCGCAGAACCCCACGGGTAGCTCCCTCATGGTCATCGGTCTGCAAGGCGGGCTGGGGCCTCGCAACGTCCCCGAGGTGATGCGAGGTGCCCTCAACCCGATGTGGCGCTCTACGTACATCCACCTGATGAGCTACGGCGCATCGGCGGATCCTAACGCGGCGCCCCAGGAGGCTCTCGACGGTGTCGCGCAGTGGCTGGAAGAGACCAAGGAGCCTGTCTGGCGCGAGTGGGCACCGGGTGCTGGCTCCTACATGAACGAGGGCAATGCTTTTGACTCCATGTTCAAGGAGGACTTTTACGGCACTTCCTACGACCGTCTGGTTGAGATCAAGAGCAAATATGACCCTTCCGAGAGTCTGTTCGTCTTGTCGGGCGTCGGAAGCGATGCTTGGAATTACAACCTCAACAGTGGCAAGTTGTGCAAATCGGCCTGATTTGCTCGGTCTAGTGATGGTATTTCGATGACCGCTCGTGATTGGCTTGGCTTCGGTATCACAACTAGCTGTTTTCTGCCCTTCTCTTGTAGATAGGGATATCATTTTTACTGCCATAATCAAAACTTGCTTGGCTCTTGATGTTCTCCCGGCCGTCGGTGGTCATGTCGTTGTCGTGAATCAGAGTCTCGTTTGCTTCGTTCGTGCTTCATCTCACCTCTTCCGTCATGGCGACTCCTTTCATCTCTTCTGGATCGCCTATCGCTTTCGTCCCTTCTTTCGTGTCTGTGGCTTCTCTCTTCATGATGACGGTCCCTGCCTCGGACGGGCCCATCGTCTCGACTGGATCGAGGATGGCGTTCGCTGTCCCTCCTTGAACGGGATCTGGCTTCACCATCATCCTTTTCACGAGACGTATCTCGAGGGTGGCGTTCCTCGTCCCTCCGCCGCTCTCGTCTCCGCCGCTCATGTCTCTCCTTTCGCTTCTCCTCCTTGCGCAGCTGCTCAAGTTCTTTCTGTCGCTCAGCTTCAAATCTTTGGCGCTCCTTTTTCACCTCTCTTACTCTGGATGCTCCCATCTTCATCATGGCAAGAGGATCATTCGCTACTATCCTCTGTTCGTCTCTCTTCTTCCTTCCTGGGTCTTCGTTGCCAAATGCGTCCTTGCCGGCGGGCTCGAGCTCTGCGAGTTCAGCTCTTGACCCAGATGCTGCGTACCAAGGGCCGACCATACCGTCCTTGCCGGCCGCATTTGATAATCGCATTGTGTACTGGTCCTCCATTTCCTTCTTCCTTTTTGCCGCTTCCTTCTCCGCTTCTTCATTCTTTAGATGACGACCCTGTTTTCGTTCTTCGCCAAAAAGATCAATGTGCCCAGCTGCATCTACGATCGGCGCAGAGCTAGTTGACTTGCGCAAGGTCTCGTTGGCTGTTTGCACGACGCCTGAACGCTCTCTTGCAACACGTAACTCAAAGTCAGTGTCGTCCTCGCCAGCGCGCTTGCGCTTCTTTCTCTCCCTGCCGAACGAACCGGCACCACGGTCCCGATGTCTTGGCTCATCGTCAGGGGTTTCTTCTGTTGGAGGCAGTGGCGGTGGCTCCTCGCCCCGTAAGATAGCTAGTCGGCGCTCGGCATCGACTTCTTGCATGCGCTGCTCCTCGGCCTCCTCCTTGGCCTTTGCGGCAGCCTCATCGCGACGGACACGGGCGATGTTGTCCGCATTGTAGACGTTCCAAGACTTTTTACCCAGTAGGTGTCTGTTTATCAGTTAGATTCTGGCTGATCATACTGGTCGACAGATGTGACTTACAGCGGCATGATTTACTTGGGCCCCTGGAAAGCTTACATTACCAAGAGGAAGCTATGAAAGAGTTGATGTAATGAGGATGATGGCTCGCAACCTATGAGTCCGAAATGCGAGCAGCTCCAGTGAGTCCTAAAAGGGACTAGACTACATCTCGAGCCAATCGACGTCATTAATTAGGCGGCAGCTGGAGACCTGAAGTGGGTCATGCCTGGCGACGGCAGCTGCGTGCCCCACTTCACTTTGACTTGCACCTTCCCGCCGTCAGTCAATGGAACTGCTGCACATGTCACAATGGAATTTGCTGAACAACTTCCTTGTCAAACTTAGTTACCTTCCAACAAGACTCGTCCTGTAGATACTAGGTAATGACACGAGGTCAACGCTTGAAAATGATTGGACACCCTCTTACACTCAAGTTGCGCAGGTAGCAACGCTTCTGCAAAGAAGACATCTGGATCCTCAAACTGGCCAGAGTTGAAACAGACTGAACACGGTTACAAACCACGGGTGAGATCCACATAAGCATCAGCGCATCTTCCATGCCATTCGCTGCAGCAAGGGTAAGGTAAGGGTCCCCTCGATACGTACCTGCTTCGCCTTGTGTCCATTTGGCCCAAACAAGGTTTAGCGCTCCCCGGGCCCAGGGGACTTGAAGCGAAGACGAAGCCGCGCAGCCCCTCCAACATGCACCATTCCACCTACCATTAGTGTACATAACCTCCCCTCCGTCATCCTCACCGTCTTCCTCAACACATCTCAAGAACAAGAAACCAGAACAACCCGGCCGTACGAAATCGTAACCAACCTCACAACCAAGCGGTCCCATCGTTTCTGCCACACCGACCGAGCGCCTCAGATATGAGCTTCCCCGAGAAGCCGCTCCCCCGCGGCCAGCCGCAGTCGCCGAGACAGCCCGGTGTGCGGCTGAGGATCGAGAAAGTCAGGGACAAGGCCCTGCAGACCCAGCTTATTTATGCCAACGTGTAAGCATCTTTCGAACACGCAGTCCCTCTTCTCTTCCGCTGCTAACCCTTCCCCTCCCAGCGCAGGTGTCAGCTACCGAGACTTCGCCCCGAGCCGCGACGGCCAGGACATCAACATCCTGATTCGAGCCAGAGACCCTGTCCGAGGAACAGTACGAGAGAACGTTGTCAGAGCGCGGCCAACACCCGAACTCCCCGAGGGCACCATCAGTCTGTCCGACCCGCAACGATCATGGCTGAAGATCGGAATGACCGACACCTTTGAGGGTGAGGTGTACGATGCGAACAGGCAAGGCGCAACTCACCTCGAGGCGATGGACCTCGAGCTGTCCTGGGCCTCAATGAAGAGAGACCCCAACTACGAGTTCAAGCACGAATACCTGGCCAAGGTCTTTGAGCGTTTCTTCCAGATGCACTTCTTCGCCCCCGGTCAGCGCACTCTGCTGGACATTGAAGGTCTCAAGATCTTTGCTACCGTCAAGACCATCACTTTTGCTGGAGGCAAAGGTCCCGACGCCGTCGTCACATCATCAGACCCTTCTGCCCGCGGATTCTTCAGCACGAACACGCTATTGTCCTTCTTCAAGGGCGCCGAGTCGGATATGAAGCTTCAGGTCGGTGAGCACCAGGGTAACGCCAACCCCATTATCTCCCCAGACTTCAAGTTTGAGGATATGGGTATTGGTGGTCTCCAGGACGAATTCGCCACCATTTTCCGCAGAGCTTTTGCTTCTCGCGTCTTCCCTCCCCAGCTGGTAGCGAAGCTGGGTATTCAGCACGTCAAGGGCATCCTGCTCTTCGGCCCCCCTGGAACCGGAAAGACGCTTATCGCTAGACAAATCGGAAAGATGCTCAACGCTCGTGAGCCCAAGATTATCAACGGTCCTGAGGTTCTCAACAAGTTTGTCGGTCAATCTGAAGAGAACATTCGAAAGATGTTTGCGGATGCTGAGAAGGAGTATAAGGAGAAGGGCGACCAGAGTGGTCTTCATATTATCATTTTCGATGAGTTGGATGCCGTCTGCAAGCAAAGAGGCTCCGGTGCCGGTGGCGGCACTGGTGTTGGTGACAGTGTTGTTAATCAACTTCTCACCAAGCTCGACGGTGTTGACCAGCTTAACAACATCCTGCTCATCGGTATGACCAACCGTAAAGACATGATCGATGAGGCGCTTCTGCGTCCCGGTCGTTTGGAGGTTCAGTTGGAGATTAGCTTGCCCAACGAAGAGGGACGCAAGGAAATCTTCATGATTCACACCGCCAAGATGCGAGACAACAACATTATGGATTCCAAGGTTGACCTGGCTTCACTGGCAGCTCGCACCAAGAACTACTCTGGTGCCGAGATCTCTGGTGTCGTCAAGGCTGCAACTTCATTCGCCTTCAACCGTCACACCGAGGTCGGCAACAGCGCCAAGATGAAGAATGATGTATCCGCGATGAAGATCACCATGGACGATTTCGACAACGCACTGACCGAGGTTAAGCCGGCTTATGGTGTTTCTGAAGACGAGCTGGCGTTTGCCCTTGGCATGGGAATCCTTCAGTTCAACAACAACATCCCCGCCATTATCCGCACGATGCAGGGCTACATCGACACAGTCAAGGAGTCAGATGTTCTCAACAGGATACCAGTCCTTCTTCACGGGCCCCCGGAGTCAGGCAAGACTGCTTTGGCCGCCCACACCGCCTCCCTTTCAGACTTCCCCTTTGTTAAGCTCATTTCGCCTCAGCACTTGACTGCTTTCCGAGACGAGTTCGGAAAGAAGGACTACCTCACCAAGGTTTTCACCGACGCTTACAAGTCTGAGCGTAGCATCGTAATTTTGGATAACTTTGAGCAACTCATTGAGTGGAACCCAATTGGGCCACGCTTCTCCAACACGGTGCTCGACAGACTCATTTCCCTCATCCAAACCCAGCCACCAAAGGTCAGTTTCAGTTCTTCTTGCTCATCTACTTTTAGATGGACCAATCGTTACTAACTCAATGTAGGGCCGTCGTATCCTCATCATGGTCACCACCTCAGAACGCTTCGTACTCAGCAACTTGGGTGTTCTTAAGCACTTCCGCAGACAAATTCCGGTACCCGCCATCTCTGATATACGCGAACTTGCCCAAGTCCTGGACCAGTCAGGAATGTTTGGTGGCAACGACATTCAGACCGTCATCCAGTCCATACGCAATGACACTCGGTCGGACAAGATCGGTCTTGGCATCAAGACGATTCTTGAGTCAATCGAGGAATCAAAGATTGAGGCATCCTCACAAGGCACCGATATGCTGGAGAGTCTGTCAAACAGGCTTGTGACGGCTATTTCCTCCAATGCCCTAGACGAGTAAAGGGACTAGGTGGTTGCATTACAAACTATAGAATAGACTCTGAATACAAGAAGTCGAAGTTCCCCAGGCATAAGAAACTCCACAATAATCATACATACAAAGCAGAGTATTTTAAGTGCCTTGATTTCCTCGATGATGATAAAAAGACACCCATGAAGCTTCGAGGAAGAAGGCCTTTCGGCTTATGTAATCCAATTATTTCTGCGGGGCGGCCATTCTGACCCGCCGCACCTGGTGGGGCCAGCGGCGAGGTCACAGTTCACGGCACCAAGCTGAGCTCCCGCTGCGGTTTCGCAGTTTCAACCTTCCACCATCAACCACCCACCAACCCACTCGAGATGGCCGACAGAGCACGACCAAGATCGCGCTCGCCTCGGCGCGATCGAGACAGAGACAGAGATAGACCACGGAAACAAGGCGGTTTCAGGTGGAAAGACAAGAGCCGCAGAGACGACCGCGACGACGGTAACGAACGAAGAGGCCTCGAGCGAGGCTACCGCAACCGGTCCCGCTCCCCCCGTCGCGACCGCGATCGCGACTCGGACAGAGATCGCCGCAATGACCGCCGCGGCGGCGGCGACGACAACTACAGACCCCGCGACTCGGGCAGAGATAGAGATAGAGACAGAGACAGAGACAACAAACCCACCGCCAGCGCCTCAAGCTCGAAGGATGCGCCGACGAAGCCCAAGAAGGAAAAGTCTGCACCCGCGCCGGCTGCGGGCGGCGGCGAGGAGATGATTATCGTGCACGTCAACGACCGCCTCGGTACCAAGGCCGCGATCCCCTGTCTGGCCTCGGACCCGGTCAAGATGTTCAAGATTATGGTGGCGCAACGGGTCGGACGGGAGCCGCACGAGATCTTGCTGAAGCGCCAGGGCGAGCGGCCGTTCAAGGACAATCTTACGCTGGAGGATTATGGTGTCAGCAACGGTGTGCAGCTGGATCTTGAGGTTGATACTGGTGATTAAGAGACTCGGGTTATGGATGCAGGGGGGGGGGGGGGGGGGGGGGGGTGGGGGGGGGTGTTGGGGGGGGGGGGGGGGGGGGGTGGGGGGGGGGGGGGGGGTGGGTGGGGGGGGGGGGGGGGGGGGGGGGGGGGGGTGGGGTGGGGGGGGGGGGGGGGGGGGGGGGGGGGGGGGGGGGGGGGGGGGGGGGGGGGGGGGGGGCTGTTGGATGGTCTCTTGCTGCGGAGGACTCGTTGAAGCGTGCGATGGTATGGTCACAATCGCAGCTTTGTAACGATTGGGTTACCTTATTCTGGCGTTTTGGGGGAAAAGAGTACACCATGGAATCAGGTCTGGAAAGTCTAGATGTCACCGATACCCGTACAAATACTATGGTATGCAAAATCCACATGAGATCATTACTCGAGAGCTCAATGTATCGTCCCTCAAGGTCCACGAATACGCACCCAAAATATCATCTGATCGGCAGTAGAGCCTTTATATACCCCTCCAAGTCCATTCCTGTCACCAGCCAGGAGGCGCCCGTCTAGGTCGATGGGTCAGGTCAAACTGGCTGGGTGGTGGAATGGTTTATGGTGAATCGACAATTAAATTCTACACCAACCAGCCTACTCGACGACAGGCTAAGCGCATACGATTACACGAGTTCGAACCCCAGCATGAGCACCAGAAATTTCCCAGCATGAGCACCAAGAGATGTAGCCCCCGTATCAGCACCGGGGGGGTGAACTCTTTTTTGCCGTCACCTGTTTTTTGGTCTTTGCCCACTGCCTCAAAGCAAATCAATTGGATTTTGAAGTTTTTGTCCTTTAAAGCGTCAAGTAAAGCCCGCTACGGACGTATGTTGTGTCTGTCACCTTTGCTTGGTTGTCTGACGTCCAATGTTGAAGTTGTGCTTCACCCTTGGTTAAGTGTCAGGTCACATGACCCCGCGAGTTCGCGTCAAATGTCCCCGCTTGGACCGTCGCGCTTGTGACGCGCCCTTGTCTTGACATTTGACCCAACCTTCGCCGTTGACTCAGAAAGACAATCTCACACGCGTCTTATTGCCTCGATTCCTATCACTTCTTGTTTCTCAGGAATATTTCCTCGTCACTCTGCAATAATCTTCTAAAAAAGAAGCAAAAACTGAAAATTCACGACGCCTTCAGCAACACCCTCTCACCCATCTCACACTTATACCATCGCCATGCCCACCACCGCCACCAAGAAGACGTCCGCGACGCGCGACATCATCTCAATATCCATCCCAGAAGGCGAAGGCATGAAGACACAACTAGACCGCATCGCTCGCTCAAATCGCACCGCGTACGAGAAACGGGTGTGGACCGCCCTGTGCCAAGTACCAAAGGGTCAGATCACGACGTACGGCATTCTGGCGGCGCATCTCAAGTCGTCGCCGAGGGCCGTCGGCAACGCGCTGCGCCGAAATCCTTTCGCGCCGCAGGTGCCGTGTCACCGGGTCGTTGCTACGGGCGGTGCTTTGGGCGGGTTCAAGGGCAAGTGGCCGAAGAACGGGGAGGGGATTACGCTTGATGAGAAGAGGATGCTTTTGAGGAAAGAAGGCGTCAAGATTGATTCGAGTGGGCGTGTGCTTGGGTCGCCTTTTGTGGCCTTTATTTGAAATCGTTAATGAAGCCAAGTTGATGAGCAAGCATACAAGTTTTCATGTTTCTACGAATCTTTCTAATCCATGGCGGCTCTTGATGAGTTGCTTTTGTGGACAAGACCATGAATACCCGGATACACGTTTCTACGTATGCGGGTTTCGTGCAGATGCGTCGGCTAGTTAACGGCCTGAGAGCAATTCTTTCCTAGATCGTCAGGAGCATCCAGTGTAGGATTGTGGCAAAGGGACTTGGCGATGGGCGGCACGGCACGCAGGCTGCACAAACACGTACCCGAATAAAAGCCCCTTGCATTCACAGACAAGCGATCGGAAGACATTTTTGGAAGCAGTAAGTCTTCATGTCGATCTGAATCTGTGCGGGAAGGATCGGGAGGTATAGTAACGGATGGCCTGGAAAGAAGGAGTGAGGTACTGGGGTCAGTTCTCTTGTCCTCCTGTCACTAGAGGATCTAGAGGCATGTGGCTGAGGAGTATTCAGAAGGAGTCGTATACGAATTCTCATAAGCCCTCGAGTCTCGCTTATCCTGACCTCATTTGAGTATCCATCAATGATTTCTCTCCTTTCATCGTGGAAGAATCTGAAGAAGTCATTTGGGACGAGAACGGAGAATGCTGGGCGTTCAATGAGATGCGTTCAACCCCTCAAATGGCAAAGATGAGGTAGCGTTGCAGAGGCACCCGCCACCAAGTGTGTCACGATCTTGAGAATCCCCTTACCTTGCCTTGGGTAGCATTGGCCGTGCCGAGCACGACTATGCCAAGCGACTGCTACATGCAACTAGCTCATCAAGTGATGAGTGACATTCAGCTACTGACGAGAATCTACCACGTTACCTTAAGTGCTTCACGCAACAGGAGAGGTTCGATTGGACATCTTGACAGAATTCAAAAAGTCAAAAACAACAGGAGCCGACCGAGGGTCAAACACCGGAGCCCAAATAGCACCGGAACATCACGGACTAGTCAAGACTTCACGACATTCATCCCTCGGTTATCAGACCCGATACTTGTTGTTAGGATGGGATGACAGTCGACTCCTCACAAGGTCTGCGGGGGCGAGCTGCTGGGTATTCAGTGATTCAGGCAACGAGTGCGTATTCACCGCCAGTATTTCTCGTGCATCAGGAGGACCCCAACTGCTCATCGTTCACTGTCTCAAGTCATAATAATAAAACAGAAGAGAGGTATAAAGAAACGGCATATCTAGACTCACTTAAACTCCAGGCAGTGCCTGGGAACCACTGTGTTTTCAATAAAACTCACGCCAAGTCTATCCCTAACTCTCAAACCACTCTGCGCCTCCTTTGCAAAAGTTTAATGCCGCAAGAGAAAACATACACTGAGTCCCGAGTCCGGCATATCGTTTCCATTCGGACATGGCAGTTCACCGACAGCGAAGACGTACCTGAGACGTTCTCAGGGTTCATCCACCGGCAACCACATCTGAATTGGGGTCTCGTCGCCGGGGACAAACTCGCTGCCGGCGGCCGACCCTGCCCAAGTAAACAGTGACAGCTGACAGCCGGCAGCGGCATCGTGATAAGCCTCAGCCGTTATGTATCTCTCCGAGTCGGTGGCGCGCTAGCCTACTCGGTCGTGGACCGCGTATTCCTCAAAGTAGCATTCAGTGAACACGACCTCGGAATCTGGAGATTTGTCCACGTGAGAATGATTGCCACCGCCAGGCCTCTCCGGGATCTGTGGATTGTCCTGCAATGCAACACAGTCTAGAGACTTGGCAAACACCGATAGACCCGGGCCATGGCGACGGACAATAGCTGCAAGATACGGATTGAGGAGGACGACAATAGGCAGAGCCGCACATCTTCCTTCCCGAAGGAGACAGAAGAACAGAGCAAAAGGAGCATAGGACGTATCCGTAGATAAAAACGGCCCCCACCATCGGAATATAGACACATGTACGGATAGACATGGGAGGAAGTTGCGTCAGCCTCCTAGGCTCTCCCCGTACTAGTCTATACTACTCCTCTATTGTCTTTTGAAGACTCCATCAAACTAACGTTGCGCACGAGCTTCGAAAGAAGACTTGATCCCCGAGATGATCCCGGCGCAGACATCCCCATCCGAATCCACCGGTTCGCCTCCCGGCCCCTCACCCCGTTGGCACCAGCACGTGTTGGCGCCAAAGGGGAATTGCACAACATGTTGGCGCGATGGCAAGCAAGGTATTGGTATTCCGTAAGCAAACACAAACGCCGAAAGAGAAAAAAAGAAGGAGAGAGGTAAGACTGGGTTCGAGCTGCTGGCATGCTGGCTGTTGTTCTTCTGCAACGTTCAGAGGCGCAGCGGGAAGATGCCAGGTTCGGCACTCTTCCGAAGCTAAGAGATTCGCTGCTTCGCATAGGGTTGCGGTTGGATCCCCCCAACTGCCCCCTCTCACTGAGCCTTTGCGGGGCTGTTGGACGTTGGATGTTGGACTCGACGACCTACATCAGAGACTTCTTTGGAATATATCGCCGAAGTTTTATGGGCGCATGGTTCGATGTCGCCACATGCGACGTTGGCACAACGTGCCAGCCTGCCAAAATACCCCCCTTACCTTTGCGTCTTTTCCGTCCTTTGCCTCCGAGGCTAGTGAGTGACATCGCGGGCCCCCTTGGAACGTTGGGACGGTCTGGCTAAGAGAACTAAACTTTGGTCTTCGCGGGAGAGGGCCGTTGAGAAGCTTGAACTGGCCACAAACGCCGCACCTAAATCCTGATGGGAAACACAACGGCGGCGCTAGTGGCTGATGCTATTGAGCGGACACCACGGAGAAACTGCGTCTTAGACAAAAACGAATGGCTGCCGTAACGGCGTTTCTGTGTTTGCTACCTCATGCGGTTGTGTGGCGTGGTTCCTCACGGGAGAGGCGGCAAACTATTGTTTTCTGCTCCGGCAGATTCGATCTTATTGAGTTTGTTGGAACTCGGTTGTTGTTGGTTTTCGCAGAATGGTGTGTCTGCCTTTGCCCAAAGAGGGAACAAGTCCATCCAACCATTGGAAAAAGAAGGAAAGACGACAAGAGATTTCTTGATCGATGAATGCCGTCAGTCCCCCACACTGGCACACTCGGAGCGCGTGCTATGTATGCATGTCTTAGCTGACGCTTTGTTCTTTCAACTCAAAATAGACGGCGTTCTCACCTAGCGAGTCAAGTCAACACAGACACCACCAAAATCTCATTCGTGTCAGTGTTTATACGAATCAGCGGGCGTTCATCCGTACTCAATCAGCGTAGGGCAGAAAAAGAACAGGTCCCATCAGCCCTTCCCGTTGATCCCAACTTCCACACAACGTCAAGGACACGCGACGGCCCCCATCGTCCAATTGTCCGCCAGTGATGTAGTAACGGAACCGGCATCAGGGCCTGTGCTGCAGGAACAGAGAACGAGCACGCGCAAGAGGGCATGGAGACCCGGATTGCAGGCGCGAAGGATCCAGATCAAGGGGAAATACAGGGGCTTCTTGGGTTCTCCGTCGGACCTCGACTGGTCCAGTAGGGGAACACTGATCATCGGGGCCGAGGCAAACTCCACGAGTTCACAACACCTAGCGCCAACAGGGGGATGAGGCCCATACGGATACGTTGACCCGTTGATTAGGTTCCTCGCACTTGGTCGCAATCACTTCGCATTCACACTGGGTTTGTGTGTAGAGTTGAGAAGTGCCAGAGTAAGCGGTTTGTGCTGTCATCCTGTTTGTTCATCCCATTCCAGCCGCTTTGACCAGCACCCCCGGCAGTTTGCGAGATTCGAATTTCATGCAAAAGTCAATACTTCGTCAACTTTCTTCCACATCCCCTTCCAGAAGCCTGCCGCAATCGAACGACAGATTACGCACGTCTCATTTCCCTCTTCTGACATCTAAGCCCCCGTCTTCTTTCTTCGGCTTCGGAGGACTCCCGGACGGGTGCCAATTCTTCTTGTTCTACGCAACAGAACCTCGTGTCGATCCCCGTGGTCAAAGCAGAAGAGCGGACGAGAAGTAAGTGCAAGGTGTGGATGGCACACAACTGCCCTGGTCCATGCCTCGCTTCAAGCCTCATGGAATCAAGGAGAGAGTGCGTGTGAGTCTGTGAGAGACTCTGCGAAAGAGAGGGCAAAAGAGAGAGCAAAGGCTGAAGGGGGGGCTCCGCATCTACCCCGTAGCCACCACACTATCCCGGAGCATGCTGCCCAAAGGGGGATAATCCCAGCAACGGGCCCCAGGCGTGTCGTGGGAGGAGAACTCTCGACTCCTCGACTCTCGACACACACTCACGCTGCTCCTCACACAGTACCCAGTCGAGAAGGGAGATTGACATCCATTATCCGCCCCCATGCCTCAAGCACCATGTTCAAGCACCATGCCTCAAGCAACACAGCCCGCCTAGCAGGGCCAGGAAAGCTCGCCGTCGCGCCGTAAACAGATCCCTGGTCATTCACGACCTGTCTCTCGATTCTCCAATGCAGTTTGCTTCTCCTCAATATAAAGACTCTCCATCAAGGCCCTCCCACTTGATGAACTCGTCAGGAGTCTTCCCTGCAGCCTAGTCATTCTTTAATATCCCCCCTCGGGTCGGCCATCCCCTTCCCGTCCCCTTCCTCAAGGCTCCAAGACTTTCCTCCGTTCCGCTCCTTTCTCTCTTCAGCCCTGTCAAGATGAAGTCCTCCGCCGTCATCGCAACGGCGACCCTGGCCGCCGCGCCCTTCGCTGCCGCGGGCCTTCTCCCCAAGCGCGTCGAGAATGCTACGTGCCGCTCCCTCCCCGGCGATGTCAGCTGGCCCGCCACGACGGCTTGGGATACCCTTAACACCACCGTCAGCGGCAAGCTCATCGCCACTGTGCCCATTGGCTCCGTGTGCCACGACCCCAACTACGACGAGGCTGCCTGCACGGCGCTGCAAAACTCGTGGACTCTTCCCGAGACTCAGTAAGCTCATACTTGATCTCTCAAGTTATGCGGAATATCGACTAACAAACCCCCCAGCTTCCCCTCCTCCTCTTCCGTGATGCAGAGCTACTTCGCCAACCAGTCCTGCGACCCCTTCACGGATCGCACGCTTCCGTGTCTGCTCGGAAACTACGTCAACTATGCTGTCGAGGTGACATCTGCCCAAGATGTTGTCGAGACCATCAACTTTGCGCGGGAGAACAACATCAGATTCCTCGTCCGCAACACGGGTCATGAGTAAGTCTCATCCGCACCTATAAGCGCCATCCCGCCCACGAAGCATTATCGCTAACCAACGACTCAGCCATCTTGGCCGCTCAACCGGTGCCGGAGCCCTCGCGGCATGGACCCACAAACTCAAGGAGATCACCGTGACCACTTGGTCCGATGACCTCTGGTCCGGCCCCGCAATCAAGATGGGCGCCGGCGTTCTCGGCTATGAACTCACCGAGGCCGGCAAGACCGCCGGCCTCGTCGTCGTCGGCGGCGAATGTCCCACCGTCGGTCCCGCCGGAGGCTACATCCAGGGCGGTGGCCACTCGGCCCTCACTACCAACTTTGGTATGGCCGCCGACCAGGCGCTCGAGTACGAGGTCGTCACCGCCGACGGCAAGATCGTCACCGCCTCCCGCACGGAGAACGCGGACCTCTTCTGGGCCCTCAGTGGCGGCGGCCCCGGAACCTTCGGCGTCGTTACCGCCGTCACCGTCCGCGCATACCCCGACGCCACCATCGGCGGCGTTGGTCTCCAGACTGCTGCTTCGTACACCACCCAAGAGAAGTGGTGGCAGATGCTCGACGCCTTCCACTCCCTCCTCCCCGGCATGACCGACCAGGGCGCCATGGTCGTCTTCCTCTATAGCAGCAGCGTCTTCGCCATCAACCCTCTCACGGCCTACAACAAGACGGCCGAGGAGGCAAAGACCATCCTCCAGCCCTTCCTCGACGTCCTCGCCAACCTCTCCATCCCCTACTCTTCCGCCGCCACAAACTACTCGAGCTACCGCGACCACTACGACAAGTGGATGGGTCCCCTCCCCTACGGCCACGTCGAGGTCGAGTCCTACAACTTTGGCTCCCGCCTCGTGCCCCGCTCCGTCCTAACAGACACCACCGCCCGCGCGGCCTACGTCTCAGCCATCCGCTACGGCGCCGACAACCACGGTGTCCTCTCCGCCGGCGTGGCCCTCAACGCCACGGCGCCCGCGGGCGTCGACAACGCCGTGAACCCGCACTTCCGCAAGGCTGCCATCCACGTGCAGTACTCGACGGCGTGGAGCAACGACCCGGCCGACTGGGAGCAGATGAAGGCGGACCAGAAGACCATGACGGAAGAAATCATCCCGCCCATCGAGGCCGCGACGCCCGGGTCCGGAAACTACGTCAACGAGGCCGACTTCAACATCCCCGACTGGAAGGAGAAGTTCTTTGGCGGCAACTATGACAAGTTGCTCACCATCAAGACCAAGTGGGACCCCTCGGGCGTGTTTTACGCGCTCAAGACGGTCGGTAGCGACAAGTGGAATGTTGCTGCTGATGGCCGCATGTGCCGTGCGTGATTGTCTTTTTGATAATGAGGTTTTTTTGGAAATCAAGCGTCTAGGAGTTTTGTGAGGGCTTATGAGTACATACACATCTAATACAGACAAGGGCACCGTATAAGTGACCTCTTTTTCTGGTTCAATCCTTTTGGTCCGAGTCAAGTACGTGGTGACTAATAGTCGGTGATGCGTTCCAAATTGGAGACCCATGATGTTCACAGCCCGATCTAATTGGGGCTATCACTGTCTTGAGCTCATTCTCGGCCACAACACCACCGAGTCTCAACGTCAATGATGTCCAAAACCTGGCCCCCAATCAAGCCTCCGTTCATCGCCATTGAGCCTGATTCTCCTCATCTGTGATTACGTGAGGGCCGCTCATCCCCTCCCCTGTCCCCCCACCTATCTCTGTCAGTCCCGAGATGCATAAGCACCCCCCACAACCAATGCAATAAGGCGCTGGCCACCTTTGGTTCGCCTTGTAAGGTGTGAGTAAGATGCGCCTCCAAAGTCAGCATCAATGGGAACGGTGAGGCAACGGGCACTCCACCCTCTCCGTTTCTGCCTGGAGCCAGGTGAGAATGTCGGTATGCTTAACAGCATCGCGGTCTCCACTCCGACCTCTCCAAGCTCTCGGCACCGGCAGCCTTACCGGGCATTGTGGGGAAGGGGATAGGTTGCTGACATGACGATCACGGACCAAAACTAGGTGTGTATCATCGGCTGAAGCGGCTCTACACAAGATCATCATGTAGGTACACGTACTTAAGTAGTTGAGAGGAAATAAAAGAAGCACAGAAATCCTTCTTGCATATTTCCTCCAATCTCGAGGATTGATATCAGCGCACCGCATCTCGGCGAAGCAACACCACATGCACATCAACATGAACTGCAACTCATTCCTTCCCTCTTACACTTCAAACCTGTCTGCATCTCTCACCCGGCGCCTATGTGCCCGCTGCCTCGAGCCGTACGAGTCCCAGCACGTCTGTCACCAGTCCCAGAAACCCCGTATGCCGAGTAACGGCTTGATGTACGGCCAATGACGAAGTTGGATTGATACGTACGATGCCGGCAAATTCCTCGCCAGTCTCAACGTTGGCTAATATGTGACTAGCTGCGAAATCCGATGAGATGGGGAAGGATGAGTCGATGAGAGTATTTTTGAGGTTATTCTACGCTTAGGAGTTCTTGTCATTTTCAAGTGTAATAATAGGAAGACTGTCAAGGTATCAGGTGTCTAACCACATGCAAACTCCCTCCTTGGTATTCTAAGAAAGAAAAAAGAGATATTGTACTTCAGTTTACATGTTTGGACATGCCATATAATAGACGACCTTACTGAGTGGATTCATAGCTCTAATACTAAGTTATCAAGTAAATAAAGCTCAGCGTTGCACTTGGCCACATTTACGCTTGTTTCCAGCCTTCATAGACGAGAGATACGTCCGCTGCTCATGTTGTGGAAGCCCACCCAAGGGGCCCGAGTATCCAAAGGTGCTTTCTCATCACTCGTCGAGATTTCGAGTAACTTCAAATAGCGAGCTGTCAATTGAGCGAAGCGTTGGATTGATACTGTGATACCCTGGAATCCATTGGCCTGCCATGGTATGTCAAGCCTCAAGACCAAACTGACAAGGGCCTCATTGGTCTTTGAGTAGTTGTGCAGTTCCCAATTGCGTCTTTGTTTGGTAAGGATTACATTCTAACATCGTTATCATGAGTTTTGTCTGATCAGCACTCGTAGGGTCTCATGATTTTTGGGTATTAATGTCTCATTCCGTATGTTTTTTTGTATACCGGCCCCGAAAGTCATGCTGTGTATTGTACAAGCGTAAGCCACGCAACCCAACACCGCCAGCCATGCCAACCGCCCAGAAAGCAGAACAGGGGAACCGAATGCCTTGATTGTTCATTAAACAACATCCCTTACCCATCCAATCCTTTACCAGCCTTGACACCTATCAAAGCCATTGTAGTAAATCACGTTGCGAAGGGCGTCGCCATGCCCCAGTCGTAATGCGCCGTCGCGTAACGCGCGACGCCGCGTAGGAATTGAGCCTACCCAATGACCGCTGAGAGGCCAGAGAACGCCGCTGGACAGAGCGTCTCTATGACTCTTCAGTCCGACGGGGTCCACGCTGAGAGATGGAGCCGCCGCGAGGGCCGCCACGTCCTCCCCGGCCACGGCCATCGCCACGGTGTCCACGACCGCCGCGCCACTCACCACGACCACGTCCGCGGTAGCCTCCCTCACGATCGCCACGGCCGCGGTTGCGGCCCTGGACCTGGTGGAAGCCGTCGTTGGGGTCGGCAGCAGCGGGAGCAGGGGTCTAAGTACAGTCAGTCTCTCGTTCAGTCATCACAACTCACTTGGACGTACCTCGGGCTGGATTTCGTGGTGCTCAGGCTGGTCATCGGCCCAAGACTGGGTGTTGGAAACGGCAGCGGGGGTAGCCTCGACGCCAGTCTCGGTCTCTGCAGGATCGCGGGGAACAGAAACCCATTCCTGAGAAAGCGACATGCTGTTGTCGGCCGACTGGTCCCACTTCTCGCCGGCGGCGTTACCGGCGCCACTACCGATGTTGGCGTTAGTGGGGGTCTCGGTGGCCGCCTCCTCGGTCTGGCCGTTGGTGATGGCAGCATCGCCAGCCTCGATCTCGTTCACGGTAGCGTTGGCAATGGTCGGATCGGTAACAGCTTCGGTCGCAGCGGTCTCGGTCTCGGCGGGCGCAAGCTCGTCGTAAGGAGACTTGTAGGCCTTGGCAGCTGCCTTGACTTGGCCGACTAGGTATAAAAGGTCAGTATGGGATGTACTATCGAGATGTGAGAAAGAAGCTTACAGGTTGTCTCGAGTAGCTCGCCATTGACGCTGTACGTCTGCTCTTCGGCGCCGTCAATCAGCTTGAGCATGGTGGCGACGGCACTGTCGTCACCCGTGTAGATGGCGAGAAGAACACCCTCCAGGGCCTTGTTCTCCTCGTTGCTCTGGTCGGCATCCTCGGAGCGGCGGGCGGCAGCGAGACGAAGGAATTGTGACAGGGTGAGGAGCTTGCTGTTGATGCTCTTGCTAGAATCACCCTCCTGCTGGGCCTGCTGAGCCTTCACCTCGGCAACGGCGGCGGCCTTCTCCTTCTCCAGCTTCTCGGCAAAGGACTTCTCAAGCTCTGCCTTCTCAGCAGTAGCACGAGTGCGGTACTCCTGGTCGATCTTCTTGTACTGGGCCATCTGCTCCTCGTACTGTGAGATCTGGGCCTGCAGGGCAGGTTTCTTGAGGTACTGCGCCTTCTGGTCGGCATTGATAATGCGAGCAGCGACGAGGTCGTCGAGGGACTTTCCAGCGTTCTCGGCAATCAGGTTGTCGATCTTTGAGGCATTGGTCTGGTGGGTGGGAAGTTAGTTGATGAACCTTGCCACAGAGAGGGGTAAGTGTGAAGGTATAGGGTAGGCACGGACAAGCTTCTTGGTGGTGTTGCGAATGTTCCTAGGTACGGAGCGCGATTAGCATACGAGCAATAGGAGAAGCTCCAGTCGTTGATTTCCACCTACTTCTGGATCTCGCGAATGTAGGCAGTCTCGCCGGACTCGTCGGAGGCGTCAGCCTTCTCTGGGGCAGGAGAGGCAGTAGGAGCAGGGGACTCGGTGCGCTCGGCGGCCTTGGCCTTCTTCTTCTTGGCCGACTTGGATTCGGCTGAGACCGCGGGGTTCTGAACGGGAGAGGCGGCCATGTTGAAGCTTGTGGGAGGAGCGCAGTCAACAGGGTCGAGGTCGCGTGAGCTTGGATGGGAATTTTCCAGAGGTGGTGGTGGCCAGCTATAGGCAGAGAGCGCGCAGGTGAGAGGCAAGTAAACAAACTTGTGTAGAGTGAGGTAAGATGGGATGTACAATCGTAGGAGGAAGGTCCTAGGATCGAAGAAAAATACTCAGAGGAGAGGCGTTTGTGATGGGGGGAAAAGGTGAAGTTATTGTGAAGAGGTGGATGTGCAGGTTTTGGACGGATCAAATTTGGAGGTTCACGGAAGATGACACTCCAGCTCATAGACGGCAGGCAGGCACGTAGCTCGGGGCCAGAGTGCAGCTCAGTGGAGGGGACACTGTCGGCCGGGAGAAGCTGAGGTCCCGGGGTCCAGTACCTTTTCGGTGGGGGGTTTTCAGGCGTTCAGGCGGTGATCCAACCTAGGAGTGGGTTCCCAGGAGCTGAGGAGCCGGAAGCATCCCTGCCGCCAGGCTGGTTTTCGCCTTAAGTTCCCCTTCCCTTCCCCTAAAAACCCCTGCCTCCACTCCTACCCGCCGGGGTTCTAGAACTGGTCAGAAGAAAAGGTACATTCACTTGTACCGAGATGGGAGACCCATGGAGCATTTAGGTTGGAGGCGCCTCAGGTCTTCGAGACTGCATGTTTCGGTTTTAATGGTTGGCATGTTTTATCTGTCATGTATCTCGCCTACATGCTGTCCTGCCAACCTGATTACATCTAAGTAAGGTGCTCTAGGGCTTTTTTTGCAAGAGTAATAGAAATTCATCGTTCTACATCTCGCGGCACCATCTTCTGTACCTTGTGTTCCTAGCCTTCCCTGCTCGGATGACGTACTAGGCAGGACATCTCAGCCTTGTCTGGAACTAGCCGTCGCTCTCTCACGGGAATTATCTATGGATATACGGTAAGCTGTACGCAGTACTCATGCGCCAGACTCCCATAGTGACTAGGCCGCGAGCATCACCACCCGCACCCACCAATAGCAAAGAATCTATCCATGGAAACACACTATGTCGCCATTGATCATAGTGTCGTGGTCATCCAAACGTTGACGCGGCTCAGGCCGGTGCTGCTCAGATGAAGGAGCCACTAACACCTGCGCCCTGCTCCTCCAACCTTTGCGTGCCGCCTCAATGCACGAGACGGTAGCCAGCATGAAGCGAGCCTCTGGTCTGTCGCAGACCAACGCCTAAACCTCGAGGTCGATTCCATCTTTTGCATAGCCCTTCGATACCAGATATGATATGTTGTTGCTGGTCGCCATGTTACACCAACGGAATCGCATTCGGGCGTATTCGACCACGCTGATGGCATCGACGGCCCCGGGTCGCGAAGTAGATGAGTGCTGTGTACTCCGTAAGTATCGAGTAATTTCTGGAGTTTCGATATCGATGAACTGGAAAATCAACCTCGGAACTTGGTGAGAGTGTCCTGCGTAGTCCAATGTTAGCCTCACCATGTAATCAGACTTGCTGTTAGTGTGGTTGTACAACGTACCGAAGTCACTTTCTTGACGCTTCGGGCCGTGATGCCTCTTTCACCAGACTTCTTTGACTCGATAGCCGCCTCCTTGACGAGTCTGGTAAGAAGTCAGTATGTATACGTCCCAATGTTCGAGTCAATAACTTACGTCTGCATGAACAGGACGTAGTCGAGGTAGATCTGAGGGCTGGTCAGCAGGGCGTGCCAGGCGCGTCAGTAAGCAACTAACCATGACGTCCACATTCTTGCTCAAGTTGCAGTTCGAATGCGCTTTGATGATCTTTTTGACAGTACCGCGCGGGTATGCCTTTTGACCGGGTGCCATCGCGAGAAAAATGTGCACCGCGGCGAGGACCAAACGTAGTTGAGATTGAAGTCGCGGGAAGGATTGAGGTGTCGCGTGCAAGCTGTCGCGGCTCGGTGTGACGTTCCGGTGTGGGGGAGCCCAGAGGTTTTGTTGTGTTTGGCACAGGCCACCAGCGAGAGAGACCTTGATTGAACTTCCCCCGAGAATTGAGAGTGGGGCAGTGCATGACCCCTCCGCACTGTGGCGCATTACTGTGACCCTCCTTCTGAGCTTTTTGGGAGCTCCAGTGTTGAGGCTGTCACCGTCACCGACACCATCGTCAAACCCACCACGCATCACGTTGCACCACATAGTACCAAGATGTTGTCACGGCGCATGGTATGAACCCTTCACCTTATGGTCTACTGCCTATACTGACACCGTATCTGCAGCTCACCAAGGCGGACGAGGAGTCCGTCGGCGACGAGGTCGAAGTTAGGAGGGAGGACCAAGACAAGATCAACAAGTTCAGCCGTCTGCACCAGCGCGAACTCATAATCGAGGAGGAACTCAAGAACAAGAGCGTTAGTCGTACCTTTATACAATCACCGACAAGCAACCCCATCTAACATCTGTCTGTCGTTGCAGAAAGAAAAGGAAGAGCTCGAGGATCTCAGCACAGAATTGGAGCTTGCGGACGAAGACGAAACAGTACCGTACGCACCTACGAAGGACTCTCGATGACGCACCGAAAGACCATACTGATGCTCGGCCACAGATACAAGATTGGCGACGCTTACTTCCACGTATCGCAACCTCAAGCAATAGAGATGCTCGAGCAGGCATCGACCAAGATCGAGGAGGATGTCGAGGGGTTAGAATCGAAGCTGGAAACGATTAAGGAGGATATGAACCAACTCAAGGTCGAACTGTACGCCAGATTCGGAAAGAGTATCAACCTCGAGACATGAAGAAGTACAATCGAGAAACAAAATTCAACGTCGTCACGCATCGCATCGCCGTTTCGGGTCGCGTACCCTGAGAGAAACACCGGTCAATATCTTATCAAATCGTGGCCAATGAACACTGAGGGGGAACGTTTTTCCGTCGCTGCAGAAGTTGGTGCAACTCGAAGGGATCTGATAAGAGTAGACGCTTTCGGCCGACTCAACTGCCCCCGCGGTGGGTGTGCACCTCAATCTTTGAACAACGCATACCTATTAGGTAGATCCAGTCCTGAGACGCAGCGGCGCATTCCACTAGCGGCGTCGTTTCTTACCGGTGACGGCATAGCTGTCGCTACCTTATGAGTCGTGACGAAGCGCAGCAGTCGATGGCGCTATCGCAAACCCAAATGACCTCTGTGCAGGGGGCAACAAGGGCAGCACCGGGGATGCGGCGGGAAAGCACATCGCCGCGCCGCGGCCGGATAAGCGGCCCTTGAAAACCAAGTGGGTCTTGCGGTTCGGCTCCGATGAGAGTCAATGACAAACCAATAGCGAGACACGCCTTTTCCTCCTCGTCTACCGGTACCTACCTAGGTAGCTTGCTGTTTCCCCCCTCCCCTCATCAGCCGTGAACGGGGATAAGGCTTCGTCTCTTGTCTCTTACACCCGGCCACTCAGGAATGCTTCTCGTTTGCTGAATTGTGAAAAAAGTATGGTGGGAACGACGACTAGACCGGCTCGATCCACAAGGGTGATCGGCCACATGCAGCATGCAGTCACCGATTTTCGGGCATCTGTGGTTTTGGGGCCATTATTCTTTGGGCCATTATTCATCCATTTCCGTATTTGACGGCCACCCTCACCCACACCTCCCACACTCTGCTCTCTCCTCGTGTCTTCTGAGATGGAACCCAACACAGGAACATAATTACTGTGTGTGCTGTTCCGCTGCTCACGGTTCGCCATGCCCGCCCACAGCGAATCCGCAGAAGATGCTACAGATAGTCTGCCTTATTTGCAGCGTGAGCATCCCCATGAACAATACGTTTTGTGACCACAGTGTAACACTTCATAGGCAATCGATCCTCTCTATCAGAGACGGTGAGGAGGATCGATGAAGATGAAGCACGCCAGAGGTATGAGGCTCGTGCCGAAGAGCAGGGTCTGGACGAAAAGGAGATGGCCAGCCCCAACTCATCAAGTGACGAAGATGAGCCGACAATAATATCTTGGGATGACGGTGATCCAGAGAACCCGTACAACTGGTCACATGTACATTGCTCTGGTCGCATATCTACAGATCCAGTCACTAACGAGCTATAGACCAAAAAGTTTCTGATCCTTTGCTTAACCATGATGCAAGTCATCAACAGCACAATGGGCTCGGCCCTCCCATCCAACGCGATACCCTTCATAACCGCCGAATGGGGCATCACAAACGAGCAACAGCAGGTCTTGCCCATTTCCGTCTTTCTCATCGGCTACGTCTTCGGGCCTGTAGTCTGGGCACCTCTCAGCGAGCATCTCGGCAGGAGAATGTTGACCATTGTCACCTTTGTCATGTTCACCATCTGGACCATGGCCTGCGCCCTCGCACCCAGCTGGCCTGCGTTTCTCTTCTTCCGCTTCTTCACGGGCGTGTTCGCCAGCTCACCCATCGCTATCGTGGCCGGTATCCTCGCAGATATCTACGGCGACACCGAGACCCGCGGCCGTGCCATGACAGCCTTCATGGTCGTAAGTCATCCCTGCGACTTTCCCGGATTTCACTCCCTTGAAGCTTTGCTAAAACCTCGTAGACAACCACCTTCGGCCCTCTCTTCGCCCCGATCGTGTCCGGTTTCTGCTCCACGACAATAGGCTGGCGCTGGTCCTTTTGGGTGGCTCTCATCTACGCCGGCCTGACCCTCATGCCGATCCTCCTTCTCCCCGAGACCTACGCGCCCGTCCTGCTCCTCCGACGAGCACGAAAGATACGCAAACTAGACCCCTCCGCCGCCGTCATCGCGCCCCGCGAGATGGAGAGCACAGACTTCAAGCACATCGCAACCGTCGTCCTGACCCGCCCCGTACGCATGATCATCTTCGAGCCCATCGTCAGCTGCACGTGCGCCTACCTGGCCTTAGTATACACAATCTTCTACATGTCCTTCCAGGCCTTCCCCATCATCTTCCAGAAGCTCTACGGTCTCTCACCGGGTGTGGCTGGCCTCGCCTACCTCCCCATAGGCGCCGGCGCCCTGCTGGTGGTGCCCATCTTCATCGGCTGGGAGCAGGGCCATCTCCGCGCGCAACGCAACGGTCACGCATGGGCCAAGCGCGAAGAGTTCCGCCGTCTCCCTTTCGCCTGCGTCGGCGGACCGCTGTTCTTCATCTCTTTGTTCTGGCTGGGCTGGTCTTCCAGAGAAGGCGTCAGCTTCGTCGCGCCCATGCTGGCGGGCATCCCGTTCGGGATGGGCTTCATGCTCATCTTCATCGCCCTGCTCAACTATCTCACCGACGCCTACGAGATCTTTGCTGCCAGCGCTAACGCGGCGGCCTCGACGAGCCGGTCTCTGCTCGCTGTGGTGCTGCCGCTGGCGACGACACGCATGTTTAACAAGCTCGGCATTGCTGGTGCTTGTAGCTTGCTCGGTGGGTTCAGTGCTATCATGTGCATAATCCCCTTCATCTTTATCTGGAAGGGCGAGCAGATTCGAGCGGGATCGCGGTTTTGTATCGCGCTTCAGGAGAGGAAGGCTGAGATGCAGAGAAAGGTTGAGGAGCAGAAGCAGAGGGAGGAAGCGAGGAGGATCAGGTTGAGGGACAGTCCTGCCCGGAAAGAGGAGGTTTGAGCTGTTTAATGAATGAATGAATCGACGAAAGGTTTCTGAGGTCTATCTATTGAAGTAAGAGATGAAACGTCTACCGAGAGAGAGATGAGAATACCGGCAAGGGAGGCATACATAACCAGAGTGGTTGAAGAGGAGCGTCGAAGACATCCACTGAGTGGTAAAGGGGTACAAACCCTGAGTGAACACGGTCAAATTCTTACGACGGCACCTTTTCTCTGAGCATAGATCCGTATATCTTGCTTTGAGGGTGTCTAGGGGAGAAAAGAAAATGCCCGATGAGGCATGAGCATCACACGACCTGGCCCCTTCTTGGGGCAGGATGAGAGTTGAACATCGCAATGACGATAATCAACCAAAAGCATTAATCTATAACACATAATCAAAATTGCGTCATACCCCGAACCTACCGCCTCTCATTGGCTTTATGTGATATTCTTGAATACCGTGTGATAGACGGTGGGACGCAAGAGCTTATGTGATGGACGATTCTAACTCGTAACGACGTGGCTTCCTCAAGACTCAATTTTGACTTCGTCGTTGCCTTCCGATATTCTTTATTCCGAGGTTCCCTTGCTGTGATGCGGGTGTGACGGCCGAAGTTGCTGACAAGACTTTTCTCATATATTTGTGTATTTCCAGAGCATCAAATATGAAATTCGGTCTCGTCCGAGCAGCCTCTCTGACGGTACAATATAAAGAGATCGATTTATTGACACTAGGTATATCGCACATATCGCAACAACGAGTCTCTCTATTTTTCTCTGCCTCACTCGAGAACCATTGAAGCACACAGGCAGGCTTCGCACTTGACCCATGCCATTGACGTCCGCTACCAGCAAGGACCAAGATTCGGGGCCTTTTGGCCGAAAGTCGTGCACTTTGGGAAGGAGAATTAGGCTTACTGGCTTGCAACTCTTGAGGAGGGGGAGAGGATCTCCCACAAGACCAGGCTGTGAAGGCTTGCTTGCATATATTGATCCACATGACAATCCAACATTCCATTCGTGAAGTTACCACCAACAGGGCTTATCTCGTCATGTCCTAGCGGAAACATTGATCTGCCCGCCGGGAAGCTATAGAGAAGAGGAGAGACACCCACGCAGACCGAGCAGCGTTTGTGCAGCCCTCGTAACGATCTTTGGGTACCTTGCGGCTGGGCCACCGGTTTACAACAAGATTACCCTCGAAAAGTAGCTCATATACGATTAATGATTTGACTGCGTTGAAAGGGGATTTGTTTACCGAAGGACGAGCCTCAGGGCTGGTTTGGCGCTACTATAAACATACTTATAAATCGACTTTGACAGTACGTTTCTCTCTCCTCTAATTAATGAAAGCGTGGGTGGTAGCCTGAGTAGTAGCTCAGCCCGAAGCTAGGCGCTTGAGTCTGGCCAAAATCCTTGGACAGGTTGGCATATGGCCATGTTGTACGTGGAAGGAAGTGCAGAGAAGCTCGAAGCTGCCCTTCAGCAAAGTCAGCTACTAGGGAGGCTGTTGGTGGAACCCAGCTGTCCATATTGATGTATTCCAAAGCGTATAAACGTCTAAGAGGGTGAAAGGCTGTGACTCAAAAGCGAGCTTATGAGATTGAGACTCCATGCTTTGGGGACTTCGAAAAACATGCCAACAAACGTCGCCGAGCTGCTCTGTCACCCGATGAGAACAGAGACCTTGGTAACTTCGGGAATACCCGTAATCGCGTGACATCCTTCGCTCATTACACCCTTGAAGTACGCAACCGCCGTTTTTATATCTTTTTTTCCCACTCAAGCCAGGTACTCATTTTAGCGACTTAACCGCAGGCATAAGGCAAAGAAGGGGGGCACGCACTTGGGAGACGTCCTGCGTCATATCAGCGCTGGGAACATGTGCCTATTCGGACCAGCCTTGACACTGCTCATAATAACCTTACCGAGCGGTATTGCTAGACTATCCAATTGAATGGCAAGATTGGAACCCGCGTCAGAGTTTCTCCTTGCATTTTACGAAGTTGTGCTTCTGGCAAGAAAGTTAGTCTGCCAGGTCGGTTCTACATATCTGACTCCTCGCTGACTGGGCCATAGACTTGACACTCTCTATAAAATGGCTCTTTCTTTCTGTGTCAAAGGCGACAAACCACCTGAGATATATGATGCAGCTTCCAACCATCCCTTTCCGATCGATAAAATTGCGCAGCTCGCCCGAAGAACTACTCGCAAGGCGGATGGAGACAAGCTTCGCACCCCGGGGCAGGTCAAACGCTTCCAACGCTATCCTGACCTCCATCTTACCATCACCGGGATATTCTTCAGGAATAATAAGATGACGTGGTTGAAGTTTGCTGAGTGGCGCGCCGGCAGGATAGGAAGTCATCTAAAGAAGAGTACGGGATATGTATGGATTTTCCGTGGCGGAATTTCAACCATAAAGATTTGATTTGGCGGCCGCGACCGAAATAAAGCGGATGACGATGAATCGTGTTAATATCCATCAATCGTGTAATCACCACGAGGGTTTAAATACTCTAGCAAAAGGGGAATCTCTATTCCGATGGATAAGAATTCGTTTCAACATCATGGCTGGCGGAGCCTCCAAGGGAGTCAGCCTAGCCGTTAGTTTGACAAAGAGACCTCGCGAAGTCGCTCTTGATGAATTCATTAACAGTGTATATGAAGACTTGATTTTACAGTCGCGACACGTCGCGAGCCACATGCGCAGGCAGCATGTCACGCATCATAACCCAAGAAGGAAGACAGCCGTGGAGTCGACAGGGTTCCGATCGCAGACCAAATCCTCGGCAGGATACACAGCCGAAGTCTCATCTTTGCTGAGAAAATCTTGCCCAAGACGTCTGGTATGACTAGTAGACCTCACCTCTACGATACATCACCATCGGACCTCTGCCATATGTCTGTTCCGCTAGAAGAAAGAGAGCTTCAAGAATCTGCGCTATGATTTCGAATGGAATAGTCACGTGGGTATTACTGCCTCATCTTGAAGAACTTGACGCGCGGGGGTGAGTTGACAAGAAAAAACCAACAAAGCCTCGTAAACCACCAAGAGCTCTCTCAGGCATCGCCAAGGCCCTCCAACAGATCATCACGGCCCAGGATGCCAATAGGGTGAAAAGAGCGATAGGAGGGGCCCTAAAAAACCTGTTCCTTCCAGTGATTGCTTACTCAGTGACGTTCATTGCTGATGTGCCATCCCAAAACCTCAATTGGCAGACTTGTTAAAGGAAGAGGAACTTGGTACGGTACACAAGCCGAGTCAGGCAAAGGTCTAACGGAGCTGTGGAAAGCGGAGCGTCACGAGGGATGCAGTCCAAGTCCATAAACATCAAGGACACAGAAGTCACAATTCACTGAACGACAATAAAGTCTCACAAACGCAAGTCACACCTTATGTTCATCTCAAGTTTCACTCGAAGTCGAAAGAGAGTTGAGATAAACTTCCCGTCTCGTTTCAGCAGGCTGCAGCCAGCATACATGACACGGGGGGGGAGCGGGAATGTGGAAAAACCGTCTCATCATTTCAGACCAGGGGGTGTCGGAGACTCAAATCGCACCAAACCTCATCCCCATTTGACTGTTCTCGGTCGAGTATATAAGTATGTACAAAGTAGAAGTGAAAAAAGTTTTCTGGATTTTTTCTTTGAGCAAGAAACAATAGAAAATATATCTCTGTTTGGTCCCCAACGACCCGCTACGCGAATGCAATGATGCCCGTGTTGATCTTTCCCATAAAAAAACACACAGAAATGCTTTGGACCACCAGACAAGCAAAAAAGACAACCCTTCCAATGGACTCGCCATACCAAAAGGTTGTCCGCCCTTTTTCTTTCCCATCTAGACAAAAAAGAACACCACACCAAAAAAAGCAGGCAGGACCGAAGAATAAAGTGCGAGTTGTTTGTATTTTCCCACCCCGGCTTTGTGTTGTTTTGTACAAAAACTTCGCTTTATTTTCACCCCAAGAAGTGTATACAAGACAAAAAAGTGTAAGAAGGATAAGAATGTGTTTGTTCATGAATCATAGATTCTTCTCATAACCAAATATAGCTTGACATGCGGGGGGGAAATCAAATCTACATCAAACACTTAGAAGAGCTTGTTGGAGCGCTTGTAGTAGCCGGTAGGCTTAGCGGCGCCGGAGGCGGTGCCGTTGGTGGGGTAGGGGGCAACGGTGACGGTGGTGGAAAGGGTGACAACGTCCTCATCGGCGGGGCAGTCATCCTCCTCATCGTCCTCGCCGTCAGCACCGACATCACCGGTGGTGACGGGGGCCTCGGCGGAAGCGGTCTTGCTGGCGCTGGCGGAGGGGGTGGCAGCGGGGGCAGAGCCACCGATGGTAACGTAGACGGTGGAGGCGGGGATGGTGACGGTCACGGCGGAGGGGCAAGCGCACTGGCCGTCGGCACCGAGGGTACCGCTGGGAGAAGCAGACTCGGCGGTCTGGCCGGGGCGCTTGATGGTGACGGTGCGGGTGCCGGTGGAGGTGGCAGTGGTGGTGGTGGTGGGCTCCTCGCCGGCGCCGGTGGCAGAGCCAGTGGGCTTGGTGACGACGATGGTAGACTCAATGGTGGTGGGGATGGCGGTGGTGACGACGGAAGCGGTAGAGCCCTTGCCGACGGTCATGGTAAGGGTCTTGGTAGAGATGATCTGGGTGACGGTAGTCACGACATCGCCATCCTCAGCGGGGCAGTCATCGTCCTCCTCCTCATCGTCGCCGCCAGCGGTAGGGGGGCTGGTGACGGTAGGGTCCTGAGCAGAGTTGGTGACACCAGCGGTGGACAGGGGGATGGAGGGAGCGGCGGTAGGGGTGGTGATGACGGGAGCGGTGCGGGTAGAGCCCTGGAGACCGCCGGTAGAGTGCTGCTGGACCAGAGACTTGGAAAGGCTGGCAGCCTCGGTGACGGGGCAGACAACCTCGGTCAAGACAACGGTGTTGGTGACAACGTAGGTAGAGAGGTCAGAGGCGGAGAGGGTAGCGCTGCGAGCAGGGCAGTTGGTGATGGTAGGGGCGCATGAGGTGACGGTGGCAACCTCGGTGACCTCGACGGTGAGGGTGGTGTAGCCGGCGGGAGCGGTGGTGTTGTCGCGGCGCCAGTGGAAGTGGCGGGGCTGGTAGGCGGAAGCGCTGGCGAGGGAGGCCATGAGGCCAACGGCGGCAATGGAGGACTTCATTTTGATAGTTGTGTATGGGTTGTTTCCAACGACTCTTCAGATATCTCCACGAGGGTAGACGGTTTTGCTTGTTCGGATCGGGGATCGTAAAAGGGGCGAAAGATCAATTTCGCGGGGATGATTCTCAAAAGTTTTGGCTGCAAGACACAGTTTGCGCAAATGAACGAATGGTATACTCGATAGAGAGCGTGGGTTGAGGCTGAATGAATGGAATGTGTCCGAAGACTGACAACGAAAGACTGTGCGGTGGAGAGAGAGAAAGGTAGAAAGGGTAGGTGAAAGAGAGGAAGGGCGAGATGATATTTAGAAGGGGAGAGGGAGGTCAGAGTCCTTTTAGCCCGTGGAGCCCATGGTGGATGTACATGGGCATAGGGGCATGGGGGCAGGGGAGGGGAGGGGAGCCTGGAGGGACGTGGACTTGTGGATAGGATCGAAATCCTCAAGGCTCGAGGAGGAGGGTGGACTTTGATGGAGGGGGGTGGCCCCGGGTGGGAGCTACATTAGACCGTGGGCCCTTCATCTTGGAGGGTGATGGTCCATCATCCATGGAATATGAGAGAGAGTCTAGTCTCTACGTAGTACTCCGTAGTGTAGAAATGCCATGGACATTTGGGATTGCAGGTCCAGGGCCCGGCCGAGACCCGTTGCGCTTGCAAGGCAGGCCCAGGTTGCCAGCACAGCGAGGGAACTTTCCCACTTACACTACAAAGTACTCCATCCACAGAGCATACATGGGAGAGAGACAGAGAGAAAGAGAAAGAGGGAGCAAGGAACTTTGTCGCGGTTCGGCGGCATAGGCGCATCGCACCGCATTAGGGGTGGACCGACTGGGGCCAAACGCTTGCTTGGCCCGCATGGGATGACATGGATGCCAAGGAAGTGTACCTGACATGGTGAACCATCATCTGTGAGGGTGAGAAGGAGATGGCAGGACGCGCGAGACTAGTCCGGCACCAAGCAAGAGAAGGGTACTCTGTAGAGTTGTGAGTGAGTGGGTGAGTAAGGAAGCGCAGAGTGAGTGAGTGGGCGAGTAGAGGTGAGGGTAAGAGTGAGTGAGTGAGTGAGGGTGTGGTGTATGAGTGTGTGAGTGTGTGTCGTTGGGAGGAGGCACGGAGTGGAGTGGAGAACCACGGATGTGGTGGGAAAGAAAAAAGGATGACGGCGCCGGGGGGTTCTCAAGGACCCTTGCTCGATGATCCAGGGGGTACGAAGAACCGCTTCCCACCTTAGGAAGCTGGGCTAAGGCAGAGGCGAACCAGCGGCCACCGCACCGCTCGCCGCACAGCCCTCGACTCTTGCATGGGGGCAAGAGATGAAGCCGCCTTTATTTTTCGTCTTCCATCTCGAGGAGTCAAGCGTCAAACCCACAGACGGAGTCCTCTTCATTAAAAGACAGGAGTGAGATGACCCCACCTACGCCGGTGATGACGGCAGCCCGGGTAGTATTCGACAACGACGACGGCAATATGTGAGGGAATATGAGCGGTAGTCGTGATGGATGGACCTGGGTATTGAGTTGTAGTCGTGGAAGTCAGTGCTGAGCAGTCATGACGGTGACAACTGTGATGCTGGACTGAAGTGTAAGTGAGAAAGTGTAAGAGTGAGGTATCTAGACAAGGTAGGTAGAGAAGAGAGACCGTTGATGTTGACTCCTTTTCCGACCTTGTTTTTTCAAAGAGGCTTGAGCGATACGTACCGCTCGACGTTGTGTTTCCCCTTTGCCCAAGCAGGGAAAGCCTTCGGAGGCGCCTCCTACCTTACCACCTGTCAGCCCGTGCCGTTGCTATTGCCTCGCCGTGCGCGCCTGCCTGTCGTCCTGGATTTGCCAGTTGTCAGCGCACTTTTTGGTCGGCCTACCCCTGTCGGCCCAACCCCTGCCATCCCGCTCCTCATATGCAGGTACCGCCAAACATGAGACACAAGCGTGGCCAATCGTCCGGATCCACACCGTTCACATCAGCCCGAATCCCAGTCAAGATCGTGGCCACAGGCGCCCCGTCATCCCTGACTCCTAAAGTCACTGTCCAGGATGCGAGGGTCCCTGCGATAAGGTACCTCACCTTGCTGATCAAATTAATGAAAGATGTGATTGTGGACTCTATGGTCCCATACCTACGGAGCTGGATACGCTGTCATTGCACACTATTCGTACGCAGTATCCGTACATTCCTACGTATTAGCTGAGAAGGAGAAGAAGAAGCATCAGAGAGCGTGCATTTACTGACTCTTGCTTGCTACCCGGAGCCGTACGGAAGCTTCTTCCATGACCATCTGTACAGTTTCTCTGCAGATGCCAACAGACTACGGCAGTGTTCCGTGCAAACGTGACTCAGCCCTCTAACCAGTGACCAACTTCTAGATCTCTTGCGGATCCAGTCGGTGGAGAGCGTACCCGTACAAGTAGAGAGATTGATTGCTTCTTGATCATCGATCCCGCGCGGGCTGCTCTTTCCCCCTCGTTGTTGAGCTTGTTCTTAACTTCTTGCATCATGCCGGCTTCGCAGCCTATTCGTACACGTCGGTAGCCGACAGCCCCCCATACTCAGACCTCAACGTCCATCCGTACGCAGTATCCCGGGATGCTCAATTTGCTTTTCATTGAGAGACCATAAAACGGTGGAGATGGCCTGTTGTCTGTTGCCGCTGTCCCGTCCGCGGTGCCGAACCACAGGCATTGTGCCCTGCGCTACACAAGAACGACTCTTCATGCCTTTTTTTTTTTTTTTTTTTCATGTACACCAATTGGCAATAAGACCATGGGCCATCGTATGCTGTACGACATTCAGACGTACGAGCATCCGTCCGTATGCACGGCCGAGTCGTCCCTCGTATGCGCCCAACCCAATCTGTGCGCATATGCAAAGCTTCGGTCGACGGTGACAGGTGCAACAGACCGCTAGCAGACTGACCGACAGTTGGCTCAGGCCCGTATCTGTACGGCGTACCTACTACTACGGAGTACGGAGTACGTGTGTGGTCAATAACACCATCATAAGGCATGTGTCGTATTTTCGGCCTTGCAGACACGGCGATGCAAGTCTCAAAAGTTTTTTTTTACCTCCCTCAGAGGCTCAGCCAGCCGACCGTTGCATCAATCTGCCAGATTCTGTTTCCAAATATTCGTAGCTTACCGTTCTTTCCCCTCACATGAAACCCCAGCCATTTCTCACGCTCTGTCCACTCACCGTTCAACTTTCATTGTGATCTAGTCTAGCGCCAACAGTCAGCCAACGGCACATTGCTAGATGCAGCGGTTAAGTCTCGCCCGGCGGCGCCAAACCAGAGTGAGCCACAAAAGGGCTAAAAATGAAAACGCCATGAGAGACTGCCGCTTAGCCGGGGGGTCCGTCTGCTTGACGTGCGGTCTCCTCTCGAGAGAGTCTCCCCGTAGGCCCGTAGCGTCCTGATCCGCTGCGAAACCAACCAACCTACCTCGATGGAGGCGTTTTAGCGACCGACCTTAAACTCACTTAACCTTAGGGTGACCGTTTTGACCCTGCCCATCTTGATGTGACGTGAAGAGACGTGAGACGAACTATCCATAGACGCGCTGAAAGACAGAGAGATACTCGTGTAATGCGGTGCTAAATACGTGATGAATGGCGAGCGCGCCGCACGCGCGCGTGCTGTAGCTGACTTTACACTGCCGCCGACTGGAAATGTCTGCGACGAAGCGGTAGCCAGTCGATCCCTTTTGCGCCCCTGTTCGCATGTGTCCTACACTCCGGCACAGTTGCAACCTGGCGCCGGCCCGCCTCTCACCGCAAATTCTTATCGGGAGCCCTGCCCTACGAAAAAGCCATAGGCTATGTTTGTTTATAGTGAGTGACGTAGCAGAAGACTGCACATCTCGATATGCACCGCTTCCGTTACAGTGCACGAGTATTAACCGACCCTCGTGCAACCTGACCCCTTTTCTCTGCGGGATATATCATACTGTGTACGGACTATGGTGGCCATAGATGTGTCGGGAATAGTCCGATAAAGCCTGTCAATAGTGACATCTTTCAGTCGTGCTCAATCTTGTGTCAGGCTCCGTGGCTAGGGAACCGGGACGGAAACTTGGAAGCGGAGGAGAAGGTAATGAGTCGGAGCGGCAGTATGTCGGTTGGCTCAGTGGCCTCATCCCCCTCAATTCTTTCCCTCTCATTACTAGGCGCTTTTAATCGCTTGGTCGACTCGGGTACCTTGCCTTAGACCAGATTCTAGCCAGGAACATATCGAGGCACCGACCAACAGGGAGTCTGCGCTCAGCCCCTCGGTCCCCCCTTCAGCGGATGACCTAGATTTGCTGACAACCTCTCCAGTCACTGATCTCTGTTGTGCACCCGACTGCGGTAATCTGTACTCCGGAGAGCCAAATATCAGGGGGGTCGGATCAATGTGGCGTCTCTTCGGGGGGAGAATGGGATCGACGCGGTAGCCCTGAAATGGTCCATTGTGTGCGACGTTGTCGCGCCATGCAGTTCCAGAGTTGTTGGAAGTTTTGGAAGTATGTACTTGGTAGTCTGGCACTCTGGCCCCCAAACTGTCGCTGACCGACTGACTGCCTCTGCCTCTGCCGCCATGCTATTTCCCAGTCCACATCGTCCCGTTGTCTCGATGCAACTCTAGACGGGAGACAGAGGGCCACGATCCATCAACCATCTCCCATCTGCCGCTGTGGCCAGCTGTGCCAAGACATGCGGTACGTGTGCGCCGACGTGGAGCAGAGAAAATTTCCGCCTTCTCCATGATCGTCCATCAGAATCGAAGATGGAGTTGGCAACGCCGGGTCCAAGCTTTGTGAGTTGTCGTCCTGGTTCGTGGCCCGTGGTTTGTTCTTCACTGCTGCGGAATGTTTTCGTCTCAGATGCCACGAGGATCGAGTCGTTCTGCATCTTCCGGGGGCTTGGTGGAATGTAGAGCAAAGACTCGGATTTCCAAAGCTCAGCTCATGACCGCAGCTGGCTTCAGCTGGTACAACGTAATGCTCAATGTCTCTGGTGCTTTCGTGTGACCGACGAGAAGGCGTGGATGACCCTGCTGTAACTAGGAGAGCAGCCAACCCGGCCAGCAAACATGAGATCGAAACGACGGGATGATCTGATGGAAATGAGGAGCATCATCAGACGGAGCAAAGTTCAGAATCATCCAGGTACTCCGTACCATTGCCCATGGGCATTCGGCACAGTGACTGGAAGCCCAGTCCACTGCTTGAGTACAGTTAGAATCCTCACCATTTGGCTCTTGGCCAAGCATTGAACCCCCGAAGAGAAGGGTTTCAGACCCCCGAGGCGATCCCCTCGGCCCCCTCTGGAGACTGGCGCTCAAGTGTTGCCGCTCGCGGTTACATTTTGCACCGCACTGCTGGTCTGTCAATCCTCGTCAATTCTCTTCCCCCCGGAATTGGCGGCGGAGACCTTCATCTGGGAAAACCTGCGGGAAAACTGAGTAAAGTTGCACACAAGACTCCAGAAGTCCAGCCTCCGGGTCGTCAATCCACGGTGACACGGACCATGGCTCCTCGCCCCCTCCTCGGCAGGGGTGGAAACATCCAAATCTCCCCCTCAGGGTTCGCCCCGGAAGTCCCTGTCACAGAATGATTGTGTCGAGATTATGTCGAAATGTACTGTCTCCAGCACAACCGACACTTCTGTATGGACGGCTATGCAGGCAGCGAGGTGGTGGTGTTCTTTTTTCTTCCTTTCAGCTCTGCGGTAATAATAACCGTCAGATGAGCCGGCGAGTCGTTACCCGGCAGTTCCCAACTTTTCGGGGAGCCTGGACTGGCCGGGTCTGGGTTCTGGGTCTGGCCTGACCTTGACCAACGGCAATCTGCATATTATTGCGCAGCTTTGCGATGGCAGCGATCCTGCTGGGTCGTTGACTTGATTAATCTTGCAGAAAATTCGCGCTGGAAATTGCACACCTGGAGCTTACATTATCTTCACCTGAAAACCCTGGACAATGATGATGAATCTGGTCACTTCTGATGAGGCTTCGAGCTATTCGTATGCTGCCGCGTGCATCCTGTCGGTGGTTTCGGCACGAATGGTGGACTCGAGCACTCTGGAGTTTTGAGCCTGAACCCATTGTCAGAAGTGACTGGCCGATTGATTGATTGATGGATGCTCCAGCTTCCAGGTTCTCAGATTGCTTGTCAATGGAAGTTGTCAACGTCAGCCTGCACTGGACATAAGGCCACCCGCTGACGACGGTAACACGTCTCCCGCCCGGTCTTACTCCTGGGGCAAGGCGGGAAGGTGGTCCCGAATCGGTGACTTCAGCTCCTTCGGTTCCTGGAAGTTCCTGCTCCTCGCCGTTCGGTGCCTTCCTCCTAGGTTTAGCTCCTCTGCTCCTTCCTCCGCCTTTCCTCCACTACATACGGTCCTGCCCGGGACGGAGCCTGGACTTGTTACCTGTATCACCTCAGGCAACACTCAGAATAAGGTACCTTACCTTACTGAGATGTTCGTCGTACCTCAGATGTCACGATATCTTACCCACGACCACATGTCTCTCACAGACTCAGAGATCCGGAGGCCTATAGACTCAGAGACACCGGCGTCGGCCCATTTCATTGCATTTCGCCCCGCCATTTTGTCTTACACCCATCCTGGAAACCAACGCGGGATCGTCTTCCCCTTCACCTCACTTTCTCAACGCCTGGGCGATCACTGATCTTGGGCCAAGACACATCAACGCCAACCCGCTTTGCCTCCCGTCGTTGCTTCTTTCAACTTCCGCCTGCTTCACACCATCGCATCGCCTTCCTTGATTTGCCTCATGTTGGTCGCAACCGCGCCGTAATTGCCGTTCCCATTCCCTGATACGAAGGCTTGATGCTCTGTCAAATCCTGCTAATCAAAAAGGACCGACCAGGCGAACCAAGTCGGAACACTCGTCAAAAAACGTCAAACACGGTAGCTCCCTGGCTGGCTGGCACTGCCTACTGGGGAGTTAGGAGGGGTTCCTCCTGTCTGACACCCACGTCCTTGTTTTGAGTTTGGTCGCTTGCATTTGTTTGCACAGCATCGGTCGCTCACCCGAATTCCTAACCCTGTCGCCAAGTATCATGCGGCAGCTCCGTCCCCATAATCAACCGGGTCGGGTCATCCTTTCGACTACACATTAGATTGTTGCACGCTGAAGTCAGCGAAAGCCATTCTCGAGTCTGCGCATTTTGACAAATCTAGACCCGGGCAACATTCAAACCGGCATATTGAACGGATACCAGCTTCATCACTTCCATGTCTCGTGTGGAAAATTCCCACAAGCCAAGAAAACCTGCTGCGCCACCCGTTCGTACTTGCGGCCTCATAGGGCACAACGTCGGATCGGATGTCTCATTGAACGGGCCGCTTTCGACCGCCCTCCACTAACCCACGTGTCCGAGGCTTCCATTCCCGACCTCATGGCATCATCAGTCTCAACTGTCTGAAATCGATGTATCGATGGTTCCGTACCAAAACGCGAGCTTTCCTTCCCGTATCTAGCCGCAGCAAAGCTGCTTAGGGAAGATCATCACAGAACAGAGCATGTCGATGAGCCGTAAAACACCTTCTGGGGAACTAGAATGTGGCGTTTGCTACATGGATCGAGAGGGAACGTTGAAACTCGAATTCTTCGATGCCAAGCGGCACAAGATATTGTAAGCCCGAGGGTCATGGTCTGCTAATACTACCTTCTCAATGGGTCTGATTAGCAATAGCCAAAAGGCCATTTGGAGGATCGGATCAACAGCAATAGCTACGTCAAGAGCTAGTCAGTCAGAGGTTCGGAGCAGAGTCCTACTGAAAAGACCCATTCTGATTTTTTCTACACGAATGCTTGTAGATCTGGATCGTTTGCACGTTCAAGCGGATGATTTGAGATACAGATCCAAACGATGACCATGAAGACGCCCGAGAACGGTGCTCCAAGATCATGCTCCAAGATCATGCTCCAAGATGGTGCTCCCAACTGGTGCCTCGGACGATGCTCAAAGACAGTCTTGAAGGCTTCAGATAGGGGCCCAGAAAGGCCGACACTAGTCAACATGTACAACCCAAATGGCTGGTGTTGTACAGTCTGTTCGAACAGGATCAAATCGAAGCCAAGTTGTCAGTATTAACAACCAACACTTCAAACCTACTCCAACATGGATGATTACTCTGATAAAAGTTATGTTGGATGGGTTGAAGATGGGTAGCGGGTATATACAGATATCGAAGCAAGCGCTCACCCTCAGTTTTGAGTATACGCAGTTCACACATGCGGCGTTGCCTTTGTTACATGCTCTCACAAGCCGCATGGCATTTTTGAGGGAGGCAGCTGCTGGTCTTTGATGACCGCTGCTTGACCTGGGTGCCCGTGTTGCTTGATGATGTTGTCCCTGGTGACTGCCACCAGTGAAAGCAACAGATCCTCGAGAAGGAACCCTCAGGGGCACCCGCTGTTTTCACTCAGCAGAAAGATGACATCGTCAGGTCAACATTCCACAATTTGACTGGGCCTTCTGCTTTCCTTCTCTGCCCTCTACCCTCCACAGAAGAAGCTTCTTGCCAAATCCCCCATCTCCTTCAACCTCTCTTTTTGGCCTTGGCCTGTTGCAAGACAACCTTGCTCATCAGACTTTCATTTGCATCATTCTCCTCTTGGGCAGGTCGAGCAGTTTCTTGGATTGGTACCGAGTATTTTTCGCCAGCCATCCGACTATCACCACCTCTTCGCTCGTTTGGAGACCAAAGCAAACACAGAGAAAATCGAGCATCCACAGTGGAAACCCATCAAGATGGTGCACGTCTGCTGCATCGGCATCTCCTCCAAGAAAAAGGGGCAGGATGAAGACGCAAAGGCAAAGGAGGCGGATCCTCCCGAAGACACGCAGTCGAAGGACAGAAAGGCGAAGAACGCGAAATCGAAGGAGAAAATTCCAGCCCAGGTTCCGAAGCAGCCCCTTGTCGAATTGATCAAGCTGCCTCCTCCGGCCAAGCTGCCTGGAAGCAACTACAACATGGAACTCATGCTCAGTGGAACCAACACAGGGGGCTCCATTACGTCCTCTCAGCGCTCATACATGCGCTCTCCTGAACTGGATTTCATTCCTGATCCCACCGAGGTCGAATATGTGTCGGACCACGAGGATCAAATCGAAGCACCCAGAAGAAGTGGCCCATGGAGCAGACTCAGCCGACGCCGCTCTAACAACAGCAACAAGCGGTCTGACAGTCCCGACAGTGACAAGCGGGTGTCGATTATCAGCATTCAGAGGCCCTCTTCCAATCCCGCTGCTACGGAGATAGATGGCTCCCCGCAATACGATCAGGCTGCTTATACTTACTCTGTGAGACAGAACAACATGAGGCGCATTCAAGCCGACCTCGAGAGCGAGCACAGTTCGCGATCTGTCACGCCTGGAAGTAAGAGATTCCGTGGGTTGGAGACAGTGGTGGAAGTTCCTGGTGATCACCAAAGCGAGCGTCAGAGCGGACCGCGGCCGCGGAGCGGAATAGAGGTGGAGATTCCCACCGATGTTTCTGTGGTTGATGTCACGTCTCTGCCGCAGCCACCGCCTGCTGCCAAGCTTTCGAACGAAGGTGTTAAGGTTCATCCTATCGATATCACCACTGGAGACCGCCGGCGTAGCAGCTGTCCAAAGCCTGAAACCTCCACGAAGGTCACGGCAACAAATCTTGTTCTTCGAGAGCGAGGGTCACTCCCTGATATGCCTCCCCCGGCCCCGATTCTCCCTGCTCGCCAGAGTCGCGCCGATCAGGATGACGAGTCTTTCAGAACTTGGAGACTCTCCCAGTGTATCCCCCACTGCGATAGTCAGATGGCCCTCTCTCTTCAACCTCAGAATATCCCCCTCCCACTGGACGCTGAGAGCACAGCTGCCTTTGACGACAAGGAGGCT